CCTGATATACAACAATAGACTACTGATTTATAAATTATTCGCCATATTTTATATTATTAAAGCAACGAAAAATGTTATTCTGAAATTTTTAAACGGGTAAAAAGAATAAATAATGCAAGTATTATAACAGCTGCAGCACAATAAATACTAAATCGGAGCGTAACTCTATGTCAATTTTATTATCAATTGATTAATCCTAAATAGAAAGTATATAATGGAAGCTGACTTTCGTGAGCTTCTAGGTGGTTTATACGGTATGTAGATAAATAATATACCGATTTGGATCGAATAAATGATTTGCGACCCCCGTTGGTTTTTCGCCATAAATGCGCGCGTATAGGTGGCGGTTTTAGATAATGGGAAATTGTCGAAAAGTCCTATTGTTTGTGAGATGATGAAAAGAAATAATAATTTATAGCGTCAGCGATTTTAGACGAATCATATATCCAAGCTTGAAATATAATAATAATAGTGTGTATGTTTTTAAGGTTTTAATAATGGAAAACAAAAAATGTATTAAGTTCCTTATCTATATATTTTAGTCTTTGTTGAGTGGTGCAGGTACACGACCAGCGTATTATTATCTTTATCTGTAAACTTGTAGGTATTCAAAAATCAAGTGAATATTGTTTTGGGTGTTTTTATATTAAAGATTCTCATACAGAATTCGTTAAAATTTAATAGACGATAAGAACAATTTGCTTATAAATGGAATATTATTGTTTTATACGTTTCGGGTTTTTTAAAGTTTGGCCTATCCACAGTGCAGAATAGATTAATAATATTATGCACGTAAAATACATGTGTACAAATGGCACGAAGGAGAAGGGAACAATATTCAGTAATATTAATTGAGATTTTACACCGATGCACCGGCCGGTACCATTGAATACTGACCAAACCTGGTGATATTTGTTGGGTGAAGGATGAGAGGGTAAAATTCAAGGTTTCAAAAGTAAATTTAATTAGTGTATAAATATAAATATTTACCCAAAGCCAAATTTCTATAATGAAATTTCTTTTAGTTCTTTTTCAGTTTATTTTTCCAGATAAGACATTTTTGGTTATTAAGTAAATGCAAACTATTTAAATCACGCCTTAAAATATAAGTAAAAAATAACCTGAATTACCAAAAATTTTTCTTTTTTTTTTACATTTTAAAAAACCAAAGAAATTACGATATATTGGTTTTACTGTGTTCATTTTTGGGTTATCTTGGCTACGAACCAAAAAAACACTACTACAATTAATTAGAATCATTTATCGTTTTCAATGATTTAACTTTGCATAAATATAATTACCTCGTGTATCCTACCTTCTTAACTACTTACTTAAAACAGTGTTTATTCAACTAGTGAGAAGTATCAACATTTTATACTTCGAAAGCATTTTTCTATTGTATAAGAATTCATAAAATTGGATAAAAACTTGCCTAAAATTCTCCCAAAGAAAAAACTTTTTTATTCATTTCCCTTCATCAAATTTGTATGTTTAGGTATCATATACTGTGTTAATTTACCTACACCAGACAAATTATAGAAGATGTGTGTCTCTGAGTAGTCAAAATTAAAGTGGTCAGTACCCTCCATAATAAAAGAGAAAATAAAAGTTCACGTGATAGATACGTTAATAATTATTGTAATCTTGACGAAATCGAATAAAGGACAACATATTGTGCACGCATATTATATGGACCGCTGGGAATACTATGTTGATTGGTTTTCTGACTATTAACATTAGAAATGAAAAAAAAAAAAGACGTCCTAGGAAAATGGAGATGGGTTCAGCCACTGTTATAGGTAATTTAATAAATATCTGTAAGCAACGATAAACCATTGTCTAACGAAAAACGATTTCGAGCGCAGTTCGGTTATACATAATTTGAGCGCCGTAATTTTTGTTGCGATTTTCGTTTAAACTTGATTTCAAAACGCATACTAAAAAAAAAAAAATTCTTCCAACATATTTGGAAATTTCATCATGTCTAGATAAGTCCAATATAAGTATTATTACAAAGTTTCAAGTTTCTACGTGTATTTATAAATTAATTATACCAAAAATATTACAAAACATTTAAATTTCTTAAAAGTTTAAAAGTGGCTCAAATATTTTTTCGATGATACCGTAAGAAAATAAATCAAAAAGTCAATAAAAATGGTATCTTGTGATTTTTCTATTAAATCATTTTTGCTTGTGAAAAACGTCATCCGTGTTTTTATAAAATAATGAAATCGTGAATTGTATGTTTTCTACCTTTTTTCCTATTGTTTTCGAGTATTCTTAAATTATACGTATAGCATGCTACAGTTATTAAATTTTTTAAATTTATTTATAAATAATAACTTGAATTTAATTAAAAATGAATGAATTAATTGCAATACGGACGTGTGCAACCTAGATTATCGGGAACCGATTCGGATGCAGCCCAATGATTATACCGAGGAGAATGTCAACAAAGTTTAAAAAAAAAAATCAAATTTTTGAAAATAAAAAACAAAGAAACAAAACTAATTGCAACGACACACTTCCATCCACTTTCCTCGTTGTTCGAAAAGAAACGATACAAATCGACTATTCGGAAAAAAAAAATAATCGAAAAAAAAACCCGTTCACACACACGTTTCCCCGTTAAAAAAATCGATACCGTTGCTGGTTATAGTCTACGTCGTCGTCGAGAGTTTACGAGGGCAACCCTTTTTGAATTACTAAACCGGCCGTTTGATATTAAATCGGTCATGTTATACATTATATTGTCTGGTCGTCGTATATACCTATTATTATATTATCATTATTATGATTAGACGGATGACGTCCGTATCTATAATAATATTCAAAAGTCCCTACATGGGTATTTCTATAACAATCATGTTGTAATATATTATAATATTATATTTACAAATTAAACAGAATTTCAAATTCGGCAAGGGCAACGCTGCCGGTGATGCAGTTTGAGAGCGTTACGATGCAAAGAGGTTCTATACATTTTTATTTATTTAACGACTGCTTGCTGCTGTAAAATGAGACCCCGATAAATTTAAAACGATATTATTATAAACCGTATACACATTATATTGTACATACATATCTACCATAAAAGTTTACGGCGCACTACCTCTATAAATTATTATTATTATATACCAAACGTTGCCTATTAATTAAACGTCTTCGTTAAAACGTGTATGCAGTATTATAATGCGTTGTGTTTCGTAAACAATTTAAAATTATAACTTTTTCTAATGTATCGTTAATGTTCGTTAAATCGAATGGGTATAATTATATTTGAAAAATTGCGTTTTAATAGAAAGTTTGTGGGTTTTTTTCTGTTCAAAACGTCTGTACTATATACGTTATTATACGTAGGTACATGTTATATATAACTGTGTACCGCACTATTATGAATAGGATTTGGATTTCGTACTGATATATTATAATGTGTTTATGTATCGTTAAATTATGCAAGTGCCATAGATATCAAAATTTGAAATATGAGATGTTGCAAAAAAAAAAAATGTAATAAAAGTAACTTTTGCATACTATTTATTCAAAATTTATATAGGGTGTAAAATAATAAGTAGGTAGTTTAAATAACTAATTAAATTAAATTTTTCTAAACCGTTTTGAGAAGCGATAAATATGGAAAAGTCCAGCACCGAGAGTAGACTAGGTACTATAACCGTTGGTGCGTGAAGACGGTTTCAGTGTAATCAAGAATAATTGACAACATAAATAATATCCAGTTTCCTTTTTAAAAATTAAAGCTGATAAATACGATTTTGGGGAAGTTTTTAGACCATAGTGGGGGCATACATGGGCAAATGTAAGGGGGGCTACATTTGACTGATTATGATCAAAAAAGTATTGTATTGCACAGAAAAAAAAAATATAGATTTTAAAATAAATAATGAAATTTCGGACTTTTACCAACACTAATTGCACATATTTTGAAATGCTGTACTTTATACGGTTTTCATTAAAATTTGATTTTTAAACCCTTATAGATAGAAAAAAAAAACTAATGCATTAAACTTAAATTTGTTTTTTAGATCACTAAATACAACTTCTTATGTACTTTGTAATTAATTTGCAAATATTTTTCCTAAATTATATAATTTTAATAGCAGATACCTACCAAATAAAATTACATAGCTAATATAAAACCACGAAAATAACAAATACTTATAAATAGCCTAGAAAATGCCACGTCTACAAAAGGCTAGTATAAGTATTTTGTATTTTGTGAAAACTACAGATCTCTACAGTAATTTTTAACCGAATACCAACAAAAACCAAAATGTCGTATACTTTTCCGTAGTTCTTAAGTTTTTTTTTCCGATTTTTTGTAATTTTAGGTAAACTATATGAAAATTCAAACAATATCTTCCTTATTCACAAACTAGACAACATTTTCTTTTAGAAAATATGCTATTCTTGAAGTTTGGACAAAGATTTCTGGGAGAAATATATAGTTTTAAATAATAAAATCGATAGGACGTAATTAAAAAAAAAAAAACCTATTTTTCGTCTTTTTTGGTTTTTTCCAATTATTATGAAAACTGCTTATGATAACAAAAAATGAATTCCTCTGTCAGTGCCTAGTTACTAAATGGAAAAAATCAAGTTGTTTTCATTTTTAGATGGAATAATATTTCTGGTAGAATTAAAACCAATGCAATCGGTAGCGCCGCGGCACGCTGTAAATATTTGCCTTTAGACCTATAATTTTTTTCCGGTATTTTCCAATTGTTTTTAAAACCCCTTGAAAAATGAAACATTGATTTTCTATTAACTAATTAATATTTCATTTTGGAAAAGGTATTATACATCCCATACATGAGAGCAAGATTTCTTTTCAAAAAGTTGTTTATAAACAGAAAAAAAAAACACGCATCATACAGTGAAACCAATAGATGTCTCGCTACGCTCTGAATCTTAAACTATGGATCGTTGGAACTAAAGTCTAAAACGTGTAATGTTTCACTGCTGTTTCAGGACTCGGCCGGATGTGGTGGTCGCAGTGGTCATCGCCGGTACTGGTGCTGCTGGTGCTGGCGTTGACCCGGTGTGTGCCCGGCCAACGGCCAGCGCCCAGCAAGCGGCACGACGTCTACATTGCCGGTTTCTTCCCGTTCGGCGGCCGGGTTTCCGGCAGCATACCCGAGGGCCGGGTAGGCCGTGGTGTCATGCCGGCAGTCAAACTGGCCGTCGACCACATCAACGAGAGTCCGACGCTGTTGCGCAACTACCGGTTGCACGTGTGGTGGAACGACACTCAGGTGAGTAAGAAAAACAAATTTAAATGAACTTGCCGAATCTCGAATCTTAATAACAATTTTTATTTTTTAATATAAACATCCTGTATAAGTTAAAAATCATTATTCTTATTGAAAACTATATACATTTACCTAGACCTTTAATGTATTCGAACTGGGAATATTAAGAAATATTTATAATTAATAATATTATTAATAATTGGTGAGTGAGTACTAAGTAGATAAATTATAAATTGCTTTTGGATTATTTTAGATTTATTTTCTCACTGAATATGTATTACTCGTATTTAATAAATATTATGTGACCGTGTTATCAATATAGTATTGATCAATTGATCAATAGTATTGATACTATCGAACCCAGAATTAATCGATGGTTTTTTTAAATCATCGATACTATCGATTAACCCCCCAGACTTAGCAGAAATAACTGTACTTACTAGAAAAATACGCGTGTCTTTTGTACTAATTTGTTTTTGAGTTATGCATTTTGTATTTTATGAGGAATCAAACGCTAATGAGTAAAAAAACAAAATCGACGCTCACTCAAAACCACAAACTAAATAATAATTGACTGACTTCAAACCTGAGATAAAAGAACATTTTAATAATAACCTTAATGAATTACAAAAACTTTAAAATTTGAAATGCAATCAATTGTCGATTTATGCGGTTTTTATGTACCTAATTAATAATACTATATTCGTGTTAATAAGTTTAAATTTACATTTATATGAAATGTTTAAGTAAGATAGTCATATAATATTAAAAGTACATTTATACTATTAAAACCGACATCATAACGAACAAAACGAAAATTAAAACCTTTAAAATAAAAAATAATGGCGTTTCCATTTATTGGAATATTATAAATATTAATGATATTTGTTTAAAATTATATTTACTTTATTGACCTTGCAACGAGAATGTTCGCAAGTGTTTGTTTGGCAAACTATGGTTGTGTGCTATGGATAAAATATGTACGATAAAATTAAAAATTCCAGAAAAGGTTTTCAAAGATTAAAAAAAAAAAAAAATCATATATTATCAGTATTTATCACGGTTAAATTAATTTTTATTACCTTCCATTAAAATTAATTAGATTTATAAATTTAATTTAGGTTTGGTAAATACTAGAGGCAATGATTTTAGACGAGTATTTAAAACATACGTATACATGAAGTTAATGTATTTAATATACTTACATGTGTACTAAAAACTACACGTGTATTTAATATAGAAATATTTAGGGTATCTATAGATCTACGAGTATATCGGGTATCAATTCTACACATATTAAAGTATAATGGACAGCAGGAAAATAGTAGGACAATTATTTTGTCCGACTATCAGTGTTTTCCTCATTAGCCTTAACGATCAATTAGATTATTTCTCGACGTATCCAATGGATAATAAACAAACATGGTTGGGGTTTGAAGCAATGGAATTAATAGGTTTTATTATCAATGACCAATCCGGAATTCCATCGAATTAAAAACTTTACGAGGCAAATTATTTAATGATAAAACACATGATCAAACGAACTCGGACAGAACAATATTATCCAATTGTTGTTCAATATTGTCTATTCTGTACACGTATTTAAAATATACATGTAGCTTTCATTACATAAATCAATACATATATATTAAATTAACGAATTCTAAAGACTTCTGATAATTGCATAAATAATCAATATATAGATATTATATTTAAAATTTTATATTCGAAATCAAGTATGAAATGCGTTAAAAAAAATTGTGATTTTAAAATTTTTCTGAAAGCTAATAATTCGAATCTAAATTTAAAAGTAAATTAATAATTTATTAATAATTAACATAAATTATGGTGTTTTTTTATTTTTGCGAGTGTCCTGTTAAAATATGCAAAGTTATCTCAACAGTTATTTCGGTGAAACGGAGGAGGGTTAGAAGATGGAAAAATTCATTAAGAAAAAAAAGGAACGTTCTTCGTAATACAATTTTCTCTTATCATAGCTACAACTGAAGAATTGAAGGAATGGTTTTCAAACTAATTTCTTTAGTTCGTATAAACCAATAATTTACTTTACATTTAATTTGGAATACAATGCCTGCAGTACACGTTCATTTCCTGAATATTTTCTCCCCTCATTCATTAAAACTTTTTATTTTCATTTTACTCACTGCCATATAACGTATATTATTATGGTTATTTCTTTTAAAATATTGTTACTGAAAATATATAATTTATATTGTCTCTTATTATATCGATTGAATCTCCTTAAATTTTAATTTCCTTTTGAAGTTTTAAATACTAAGTAATTTGTATATATTATATTTATGTATATAATATACTTTTTTTAAACAACGCTATTAATATAATATTATACAAAATTTGGAAACTAAAACGACTGTCATATTAGCAACAGGTACCTAAGTATTCTATTAAAGTGTCTTATTATTTTTAGTTGTTTATTAATTAAATTTTATAGTAAATGATTTTATAATATAGGGCGTATTGTTTTTTTTTCTCTTATAGAACGATAATGTGGATAATTAATTTCAAAAACTAATAACTAAACATTGGAAAAACTAAAATTAATTACTAATTAGTGGATTATTAATTTGTTTAATTATTATTTCAATTGACATAGGTATATTTTTAATGATCGCTTATAAAGCTATATTTACTTATTTTTAATATCATAAATTGAATTCAGAATTAACGTAAATATAATTTTGTGGTAGTTAATTTTTAACTTTCATGATTTCAATAGATAAAATTACCCCTGAAATTGTATTTTATAATATCTCTCATTACCGCAATTTGATTCATTTTATTCAATTTTTGCCGTATTTTTTAAAAAATAGAGACTATTTCATTGTATTGCGTCGAAAGTAGAGTTAAATTACTTTGTATTGTATTCCTTTGTATTATTAAATTGCAATATTTTGTTGTATTCAGAGTTTTCAATTTTTATTAAAACATTCATTATCTTGGAAAGTATTATCTTTTCTTGTGATTTTTTTTTGTTTTAATTGACAATTTCCAAAATAATCAGTTCTAAAATGTTTAATCGTCATTAAATTATGTCACGCTTATTTTTGTGGGTGAGACCATACTCACTTTTAATATTCATATGACAACATTTATTGAAAATTCCATAAACAGATGAAATTTTAGTTAAAACAAATGTCGGTGATAAAATGTTTAATAATTTCCGTCAACCTGCTGACAAGATATTCCATTTTTAAGTTTTGGTGGTGGTAGAATAGTGGAACATTATTCAAACATCACTGACCAGATTGCTTCAAAAATGATTGTCAACTTTCAACATCGTAATGAAAAGAAATAGTGATCAACAATCATTATTCAGTTTTGGTGTAAATAAATTTAAAAATAACGAAGTAACCGAATATGAATCGAGTAATATTCAAAATATTGCAACCGAATTTGATGTACTATACGCTTTGTAGACAATTTCATATAAATATGGAGAGTGAATCGTTAAAAAATTATTCTCTAGATATTGGATTATTTTTATCAACTTTTAAAAATACAAATGGTGCAAAACAATTTATGAAAAAAGCGCTCGGACACTAAGTTGCTAAGTTACCACAAAAATGGGATTTTATACTTTAGTTTGTAATTTTCTAATATAGAATATATAAATTATTTAATTTATTTTCTGTCTACTTAATAGTAAAATATACCTAAGTAATTTTATGTGCATAATAATCAAATAAATTTCTGTTTTGTTCGTAACACATATTATTTAAAGTTTTATTTATTATTATTATTATTGTTCCTATATACTTACTTCTGAACAAATGACATACATAAAATTTGGATACTTAGCATAATATTGTCACATCAAAAAATAATGAGTTAGAATGAAAAAATTGTTTTTTTTTATGTTGCTGTACCATTTGTATTGCTATATTCGTAATCCCCCCCCCTGAAATTTTATTTTGTGTACGTACCTGATAATAGGTTATAATAATAATAATATTAATAATATACTGACTTTGTGTTATATACACGGTCGAATAATATTAGAGGGTTGGGGGTCTAGGGCGTACACGTAATATTATTAATGCGCGTTGACTCGGTTCGAAAACTATTATCGAACAATGTGAATCAGCGGGAGAGACTTGACGATGCCGAGCCACAATCGCCGCCGCTTTGTATATAAATAAGAGAGAGAGACCTGCAGATCAATAATATCAAAACACAGTAAAACTACTTTACCGGTTAACCTGTACGTTTTAATACTATTATTAGTATTATAATTATAGAATTATAGTTATATAACTAGACGGCCATCTAAAGTTTAAAAAGGCTGATTTACTTCGCACATAGGTGCAGCCACTGTTGTAGGTGAGAAGTATTGAGGGGGTGGTAAAGGAGAAATGTTTATATATCTGTAAGCAACGATAAACCATTGATAATAAAAAACGATTCTGAGCTGAATTCAGTTGATGGTGTTGTTTTGTCAACAATATATGTGCCGTATTAAGGTAAAATAACTACATAGGCATTATTATTTTATTTAATAATATTTAACATTGTACTTATTTCCCCATTTTTTATACGGTTTTCCCCATTTATTGAGAAAACTCCCGGGGAAATTCAAAAAATGACTTCCTTAAAGTACCTCCCTAGCCAGATTTTCTGTTAGAAAAAGTGTTATCATTGTAAATCGGATTGAAATTGCTGGTAGAAAAGTTGTCCACAAAAAGAAAGCACCGTAATATTTTACAAATATATTTCTTACATTTTCCCGTTTTTCCTCAGACCTTCATAAAGTACATCCCCAGTCTGATTTTTTTTCAGAAAAGGTGCTACACTTAAAAATCGAAAAACACCTTTGTGAAACTATCATAGCTTCTTTGCTCCACTCAGAATCTAAAATAATTGTAGTAGTTGTACAAACCTACAAATAATGTTCACAGAATATTGACTGTTTCTAAACATAACAATATTTAAACTAATTATAGACATTTTACATTTTCGTGTTATTTATTTTTATATGATTATATGTGAATACCATTGTTTTTGTCGAACAGAAATGCTTAAAGATTTGACACGACATTCATTCATTTATAAGGTATGCTCATTGTTAAAAAAAAAAGAAATTGAGTTAATTTTTTTTTTTTTATGAGTGTTTTAAGTTCAATTAAAAATAATTTTCCTTTTTTTTTTTTTTTGCAAAAGTATAGTATCACATATTAGGTTAAACAAAAAAATAGAAAATAAATAAACAGTTGAATGAACGTTATTTTATGCGTGTATAATTGTGCATTGTGAAATGAAATTTATTTCGTATAACTGCGCAATAACTATACAAGTTTGCCTGTTTGTGTTTTTTTGTCATATTCTCACACTCGATGACGTCATTGTCTATTAGAAAAAAAGATCCCCGGAAGGGAATAGTACAAAATTTACTTCTGATTCGATCGACCGCGTGTTTTCATTCGGCCGTTTGCTGTTTTCAAGGGAATGATTCGAAAAATGACTGGAATTTGTTATAATATTGTGTATCGCAATACGACCGAAAAGAAACAACTCGTGTGTAACGTTTTGTATATGTTACGGAAAAATATTTAGGTCTCGTGTGTTTAAAAATCGTAGTCATGTTTAGGATATTCTGGGTGTTTATAGTAGACTATAGAGAAAGACGGTCGTTGGTCGGACATTCATACAGTCTGTCCACGACCATTTAGTGCGTATTTTCGCAATTTCAACATATTTTCTTTTATAGAACGATGTTAATTGTTCACATGTTTCAACTGTTTCAGGAAATGGGAAAATGAGTTTTTAACACTGTTTAATATGATTTTACTGATCGGAGTAAGAAATTTATTGGTTTCAAAATTATTTTTTTTTTCTGTACACAACTTGTTTACCAGAAATGTTGATTTGATTTTAATTATAGCACTTTTTTCCGATTGGGGAGGTACTTTAAGGAAGTTTTTTTTTTGATTCTCCCCAGGAGATTTCCAAATTTATAAGAAAAACCTAGAAAAATCAAAGTAAAAACAGAAAAATAAGTATAACATTAAACAAATATTATTAAAGGAAATATATAATGCATATGTAATTATTTTACCAAAATATGACATATTTATAGTTAATAAATCAACACTATTCACCAAACTTCGCTCAGAATCGTTTTTCGTTAGAAATGGTTAATCGTTGAGTACAGATATAAGAGTATATTCAATTTCACCTCCATAGATAAATACCTCTAAAAGGTATAAAGAATATCTTCCCAATTTCTAACTGACAACAGTGGCTTACCCATCGTGTATGTTCGTATTTTTTACAAAGATACGGACATCTTTGCACTAATGAATAACACGTTTGGGTAGATTACTGATGTATAAAAAACACTACATAGCCCACTTGAAATGCATGCAGTGTACTATAATAGGTACCTATCTATCTCGTATATTATATATATAATAATAATAATAAGACTAAAATATTAATTTTTGATGGCAGTGTTGAATTTCTTGATAAAAATTGCTTATTGAAATTTTTCATTTGACAGTGTACTTATTTTTAACAAGTCTATCTATTACTTTTTATTTGAATATTAAGAATATTATGATATATTTATAAATTACCCATGTTACAAAAACTGTTACTGTTAACGAGTGAGTGTTACTGTAGTTATGGATAAGAAATTAGGAAGATAACGCATAGAATAATATATATACATAATTTATTTGCATTGTTAGTTTATATTTATATATATGCAACTTTAAATCGTTGCTCACAAAAAATTATTCTGAGCGAAGTTATAATTAATGATATGTTTTAAAAGACTTAAATCGCATGTAAAAAAAAAAAAAACTACTACCTATGCACATTAAATTCAATTTGTTGCCAAATGATATATTATGGGATATTTTTATAACTCATTATAGTAGGTTTGAATTTCCACATTCTTCAAAAGACACATTATATTATAATAATATGTAAAGCGATAGCCCTCTTGAATCGGCCAAAATCGAAAATAATGATTTGTTATTTTTAGATAAAAAGAGGCTTGTCGTGAGTTGTTGATTCGAGTTGTCAGAATATTATTACTGTGTAACAACGTTCATTAAATTCGTGTTTACACGTTCAGCCTATATACATAGAGGTTGGTATAATAATGCACAAGTAACTAAATAACGAACGAAGATATACTTATTACGATTGTATTATTGTTATTGAATTCTGTGGAATATTTTTCTAGATCAAAAGAACGAAAATTATTATAATACGTACATTCAAAAGATGTAACATTTTCGTAATACGAATTATTACAATATAATACAGCACAGCCAGCGAGTAAATTTTTTTCTTCTTCAATTTATCATGTGTTATTTGATTGCAGCCTATATGCAATCATTTTAATATGTATAATAATCAGTGGCGTATTTTAAACTTTCAATGGAGAGGGGGTCAATAGTTTATAACAATTACGTAACTGGACAATATTTTAGGGGACTTCAATAGTCATTATGTATGTAAATTCCATTTGTTTAATCATCCAACTGTAATTAACTATAGTCCATCAATAATTAGTATTTGTACGCCATTCAGTACTTTAACTTTTATACATTTAGTATTTTTGTTGTTTGGAAATTTAATAGCACGACACGACTATATGTGTCATTTTTTATATTTATTGGTTAGTTATCACTTAAATATATATATTTCAGGAACATTTATTTGGTTTGACTTTTTGTTTTCCCTCTGGAGTTTCTAGTATAGTTATTTGATTTATATTAGCATGCAACAATAAACCACTAGGAACGAAAAATGATTTTGAGCAGAGTATTAGTAGTCATATTTTTTTTTTGTTGATAATAAGGTCACTTAGAAACTAACAAATACTATACAAAAAATGTTTATTTATTAGGAAAACTAAAAGAAAATTAAAAAAAAATATTTTATCAATACACAAAAAAGATTTAAAAATGACATAATAAAGTTCCTTTACATTTTTTGAGCATGATTTCTGGTAGAAAAGGTATTTACAGACACATACACAAAAAAAAAATCATTATAAAACTAATACATTCCTTATTTTGATTAGAATCTAAAGAAAGAGTTTAGAAGTTGGAATGACGTAAAATCATTAAATTTATATCTTTAATTAATGGTTCATTAGTTAACAACTAAAAGCGATTTTCACGATTTTCGCTAAAAAGTTAAAAGTTTGAAATTTGAAATTTATAAGTTATTTAATGAGCTTATATTATATCAAATCGCACTTAAAAGTATAGAAGAGTATAAAAGTATAAGAGTATAAAAAGCAACAACATTTTTTTACTTTTTATTTATTATGTTCTAAATTAAAATATTTATTATGACAACATAATTATTTTTTTGAAAAATCAAAGTAAAAAGCTATTAAATATTTAAATAAATTATAGTTGAAAATATAAAATCAGACAATTATTTGTTTTACAACTACAGGTATTGATGACGTATCGTTACGAATAATTATGCAGTAGTGAATTAAAACTTTCAAAACCAATACTCTTCGGGGTTCCATTGTAAATTAGTTAGAAAATTATTAATAAAATATTGAAAGTACGATAGAATAATATAAATGTTACAAAATTATTCCAATATAATGTTATAATATTATATCGAAACTTTTATATAGGGATAAATTAAATGTGATGCAAGAGTCAGTATACTTTTAAAGAGCTTAAACAAAAGACAAACAATCAGTCATATTGGAGAATTAAATTTGTAAACCAACTATCGGATTAAAAAAAAAAATGGTGATCAAGAAAGCCGTTTATTGATTATTTTCTTAGTTTTTTAATAATGTACGAGAACCAAAAAATACGCTAAAAAACGGGCAAATTTACGAAATTTATTATTTTAAATTTTGTTTTTATGTTGTAACAAGTTAAAATATTCATAGAAATTTGAAATTTTGGACAAAGAATTTATGTTTTCTTTTTTAGAAGAGATAAAATTTTCAAAACATTTGAACTATTTTTGAGCTAATTATAGAAATATAATTTTTACGAATTTTGTACGCAATTTTTATTTGGTAGGTATTTTGTAGATAAAATTGTCACACTAAACATAAATATTGATAAAAATAAAAAGATTAGGATAAAAAGAGTCATACTAAGCGTTGAAAAAAAATCAACTGTAATGTATTATTTTTTTTTGTATAAAGGGTTTTAAAATCAAATTTTGACAAAATTCGTAAATATTACGGCTTTTCGAAAATTGTTTAAAAAAACTTGACTCTTAATTGTTTTTCGTTAGCAATGTTTTATCGTTGTTTAAAGGTGTAAATTAAATAACTCTATGTATTATACCTTCCCGACCTCACTTTCGTCCCTACATCAATGGCGCGGCCGTCCCCAGTATCAGTTCTTTTCTTTTGTTGTTGTTTGACACTGCATGCCAATTCGAGTATAATAGATTAATAATGTTTCACATTTTTAAAAAAGTACACGTAGCACTGAATTGGTCCGTTGTTTGGTTTTTTTTATATCAGATTTAATAAAATTAATTTCCGAAAAGAGTGGTTTGCGTGAATAGGCGAAAGTTGAGTTATCCCCTGGCAGGGTCATAACCATGAGCGCCGAATACAGGGCACAACATAGTCACCTCCCCATGGATTATTTCATGTTCAAAATTAAAATTTAAATACAGTGATAAATTCCTCACCCCCAAGACTTTTTTGAAACACGGTGTCCGTGGGCTTAGTTCTTTTAAAAATAAACTAAAAAAACACATTATTATCTATGTCGCACAATAACCATGTTTATAATGATTAAATATTATATTACAATGTTAAATTTTTAACTTAAATGTATATTCTATATTGACAAATTCGTTCAATAAAATATCAAAACATAAATTATTTGATATATCATTTTCAATATGTAATATAAATAAGTCTATGAACCTATATTGTCACATTGTATTAGATCACTTATCATAACATCATAATCAAAGTGAATTTATTCATAATAATATTATAGTATACTCTGATTACAGTTGTTATCATGGTTAAAACCAAGTCTCTATTCGTTGTTATATCTTAGTAGTAAGTCTGTATGCTCTCAAGGTTAACCAAATAGATTAGTTATAGTATGCTCATACTTAAAAAAAAAAATGCAGTTTATTTTGATAAAGTATTGTTATCTTATTATTGATTAATAATCAATTGCTAATTATTTTCAATTGAAGAAAGTGCAATATTTCAATATAGTTTAATTATTTTTAGTATATTATATTTATTAATTAAACGTATTTGAGCTTTCGTAACTCAAAAGAGGATTGAAATTGATCAGAGGAGGAGTAGCTTCCTCTAGCCCCCAAGTTGCGCCTAAACTCGTATGAATAAGTTGATATATAGAATTTACGAAATAACCAATTATACTCTTTAAAGTGAAACAATTTTTTAATTAAAGTAATCCTAAAATTTAATATTCTGGAAGACGTTAACGATAATAGAAACGTACTTTATATATTATTATAGTCTTGTTATTTTTAATTTAATTTTTATATCATTTGTTCACAGTGAAAAATAAATATACCTAATAATATAATAATGATTTCAATTTTTTCTCGCGTACGTAAAGTAACCACGTATTCCACGTAAAGTTGGAAAGATATAGGGATTAGGGATATGGGGTAGATTATTATAAGTTTATATTCATCGAAACAACGATAAATAAATCAATTTAAAAACTGAAAATAATAAAACCATTAATTTCTTACATTTTTCCATTTTACTCTAGGTTTTTCAAATTATTATGAAAACTTCTTGGAAAATATAAAAACGATCTTAGAAGTTCTAATTAGATAAAATTTAATTTTAGAAACATTTGAAAATTGGAGCACAATTTCCGGTTGACATTTTGTACATACTATAAAAAAAAATAAACATCATTGTAAAACCAATTCTAAAATATCAACATTAAACTTTAACTTGATTTATACATCTAATAACAGACATATTTACACCATAGTTCGAAGACTAAATAATTGTCGATGTTCGTCATAATCTTATCTAATCATCCCTTAACGACTTTAATAAACGAATTCGTTACAGTTATACTAGTGAAAGCGTATTTATTTGTAAAAGTTTTATTATTAATTAACTAATAAATACATTATTATAATTATTTTTAAATTAAGATTGAAATAGGTGTCTACTATTCGGAGGTTTAGCCATTGAAAATTTATGTAAATATTCCTAAAAAACCGTCCGCTATTAAGGGGGGTTTAACTGTAATAATTATTGTAACGGTCGAGAATCCAGATTTTTAAAATCAGAAATTTAATGTAAATCCGGGTGCCATACGTATTAACTTTGGATGTATTTAGTGAAACTTGTATGTAAACTCACTTTTAATGCGCAACGTCTTAATTCGTTTTAGAAAAGTTTATTAGGTTTTCCAAATCAAATTCACTTCCAGTATTAAGAAATGCAAATAAACGGTAAGTGGATTATTTTCGGCAGGAATTGAATACCAAATATCATATAATATCATTCCCATACACATTTATATATATATTATACATTATATTATATATATATTATACATAAATATAAAAACACTCAAAGGTGATAATTTTTTTTTTTTCATAAAAAATTAATTGTTTTACAAAAAATCTTTTATAATATAATAGTATATTTCACTAAGCAACAATAAACAATAATGATCAAACACAAAAATCACGTTTTATACGTTTTTATGCCATAGTTTTTGACTTAAATTTGAAAAACTATACAATTATCTCTTTCGGACATTTTTCAACCAGCATGAGCTATGAGGTTGAGTGATCGTTATCAGATTGAAGAGAAATGACTTTCATGAGGGACTCAATGAAATAAAGGGGGGGATGATACTGTATTCAAAAATATTTAACTGTTTCTCTTCTTCTGTAAATATAGACCACTCTGACATAATATAATTATTATGCTATTATAAACGTATTTATTTTATTCGAGTTTAATCGTAATATTTGAGACATTCGTGTATACGTAAGAAACCGTACAATACGTAATAACAATGTTTTATACACGTACACACGGGAACACGGGTGACATATTATAATGCGTATGTGAAATCCGCGAATTATTAAATTCTGTTGGTTTGCATTTTTCATAAAAATACGTATAGGTACGCGTGGAGACAGTGTGCTGTTGAATATTTTATTTCGTCGTCGTTGTCGGTTAAATTCACCTCGGCTTTTATTACGGGTTCACCAATTCGCAACCCAAGTCCGGCGTAGGTGTACCTAATACTACGGGGGGGGGGGAGAGGAATACAATAAATTAAAAGATAAAAAGAAATAAGGTCGCCACACGGCTATTGCCCGGTCCTTGAATATTGCATACGCTGCCGAGTTGTTTCGCGGTGAAATGGTCTACACACCGTTTCGTCACGTTTTATACGAACGAGAGAGCGTAGCGGCTCTGCGGTGTAAATATTTATAGGCGTATTACCGGGGCACCACCACCACCGTTGCGCACACAGTCGGTGACTTTTTTTATTTCTTTTTTTTTCTTATTTGCCATCCAACCGAAACGGGAAAAAAGAGGCTCTGTAGAGGGGGTGAGGGGGACACCTTTAACGGCGAACGGTAAATTTCCCTATAGATCTCAGGTGCGCGTATAGTCCTTTGGGAGCATGGCTCGCGTATTATACCGCAAGGACGCTTAAGTGGCACGTTAAACTCGGTGGCAGTCTTAAACACATTTAAGAAGGTTTGTTTTATGCTCTTTCGCCGAGGACTTACGCCAACTCCCCTTTTCTTCCTCCCATCACTATCCGTCGCCGTGGGGACGGAAATGCGGGGAGACCCGTATTCCGTTCGGTTTAATGATATCACTTTTAGAGCTTATTACATATAGGTATACGTAAACCGTTAAAAGTCGATGGCGTGGCTTTTCTTTTCTGTAAGTATAGGCAAGTATATTGTATATATATTTGTATATACTATATTATAATATATAAGTAATTCGGTCGGTAGGTAGAGGAGGTACATACGAAAAATGCATTATTCAATTTCAATACTTTTTCAACGGTGGCGGTGACGTCGTCCTTGCAAACGTAATCACAGTGAAAAAACAACACATTTTACTTAAAATATACGCGGTGTTCACTGTATTCGCATAAAATGATTAATGAATAAACACGTAATTTTTTCAATAAAATCAGTGGAAGAAGTATTTCCTGTTATTTAAGTTAAATTATCTGTCCTTTTCAATATTAGATGTCCGGGGAGACGCTTAAGTTTTTGTCACCGAGACAATTTTAATGACATTTTAAAAACTTGAATTGGTTTTATAAAAAATGAATTTCTTAAGACCAAATAATTCGATTATACGTATAATGAGACTCTGTTTTATATTATTTTCAATGAGCTGCAGGCATATGCGTAAAGTAATATTTAAGAAAAAAGGGGTGTAGTCAATTTTTAAACTTTATTAGTATAACATTTTTATGAACATATGTGAGTGAAAAAAAAAAACATTTTAGAAAACTTATCTCCATAATTGGTTTCTGAAAGTTTGGTTAGGATTAGTTTTCTCAAATACGCCCCTTAATTTTCGGAAAATATAGTTCCCCTTTGAACTTTTTCCCACTTTTATAGTTAAACTACTGAATAAAATACGAATAATAGGTGATAGTTGAAAAAATCCATGTTAGATAGGTCACATTTTGAAGTAGAAAAATCAGTAATCTTGTTCATCGTAGTACAAGGTCGTATTAAATTCGCACCAATACAGAATTTTAATTTTATTACTCAGAGTTTTTTATATTTTGAGTGGAGCGAGAAATGTATTGGTTTTATAAATATGTTTATTTTTTATTATTTTTTTTTTTTAATGTGAATACTATTTTTACTTACTCTTTTCTGAAAAGAAATTTTCTTGAGGTGACACTTTAGGGAGGTCATTTTTAAATTTTCTCAGGAGTTTTCTCTTCAAATGTAAAAAACAAAAATAAAATGGAGAAATACGGAAAAATGTACAAATGTATATTAAAATATTACGGCCTTTTTTTTCCTGTGAACAACTTTCTACCTAAAATTTTGCTCCAAATTACAATAATAGCACTTTTTCTGAAGGGAAATCTGACTAGGGTAGTACTTTAAAGAGGTAATTTTTTGATTTTCCCAGGAATTTTCCAATAAATGAGAAAAACCATTAAATCAATTAGATTTTAATTTCGTTTTTAATGTATCATAATCACACAAGGCGTGGATATTATACCTAGTAAACAGTACAATAAAATATAGAGAAACCAATAAAAACCAAGATGAAAAAGATGACGATGTAATAATTTCTTGAAAAGAAAATCTTCCCTGAAAACCATTTCTTTCAAAATTTGTTAACCTTATAATTATCTTAATTCTCCTATTTAAATTCCTCTATACTCTCCTCGTTTTACTTTTTTTTAATTTTTACTCTTATTGATCTTATTGTATACAATTATTTTCAGGAAATCGCTCCTAAATAATTGGCGCCTGTTTTTGGAGATTTTACTCTACAGTTATAATATCTCGGTGTAGTGAAATTAAAACTAAGGGGGGAATTATTTGGTAATACACAGTGTGCAAAATCTCCAAAAAAGTGGTCGAATATTTGATCGGGTATTTGTGTCGAATTTATTCACTGATATAACTATAAAGTTAATATAATACAATATTATATATCTATACAATCGTCCAACTATAATGCCTATTCGTTTTGTGAATTGAGTAAATTAAAGATAAAAAAATAAAAGTTATAAAGTTATTTTTTTTCATTTTCTCAGGAGTTTTCGCGAAAAATGGAAAAAAGGGGAGGAAAAACGAGAAAGTAGGTAGAATATTAAACAAATATTATTAAAGAAAATATTTAATGCAGATCTAATTATTTTACCATAATGTAACATATATATATATTGTATAAATAGCAACACTATTAACCGAACTCCGCTCAGAATTGTTTTTTCATTTACAATGGTTAGGCACAGATGTAAATTAAATTTCCCCTTTACTACCTTCTTAACATCTCACCAATAACAGTTGCTCACTTACTTTACAGTAATTTTTTTGATGTTGTCTTATATTATTTATCACCCAAAATGAAAAAGTGAAGTAATATTTTACCGAAAACCGATAACGTCCACTTGACAACTACGATGGTAAAATTGTCCATCAAAATATATTTTCTATGTGTCAAACTCATTGTCAAAACGCTAACAGTATAACGAAATCATAATTTGTTTTGTTTGTCCAAAAAAATAATAATATACTATGGTACTGTGATGGCGATGGCATACTGTTAGTAAAGGAGAATACCATCGTATACATCTTCGGAGGACGCAATTTCCGGTATATCTATCCGTGAATGACAAAAAAAAAAAAAAAAATTCAATCAGGCTTTATTACAGAATATTCATTGTTTGACAGACTTTTTATCACGAAATACATGCTCATATATTTTATAATACGATTTTGCGCAGAGACTTATTAATTATTAACACAATAAAATTGATTTTATCATGGTTGTTTTTATGATATCTAACAAATAATTTACTTAACTATAAAAACTTGTATTAGAATATTTTTTTTATATACATAGATATATACATTTTAACCCCGTTCAAATGTTTTCACTTGCTTAGAAGAGTGTCTAAAGCAGTGTTTTTAGTGTTTTAAGAGCCCGAAATGTACAGTACAAAATTTTAAGCGTAAAGCTTGAAATTATGCTTTGTAAGAAAAAATGTTTTTTCTTTTATGAAGTGGTGCTTAAGGAATAGTGCGACCCAAAAGCGACAAAAATGTAAATGCTTAGGTCTCTGATTTGGTGGATATTCGCGGCTTAGTTGCTTCGTTGTGTAGAAGAATGCAGCACAAGATCGGTGAGCCGACGACGGATATGATGCGACGTCCCGGAATCGGGAAGGCAGCTGCGGCGGACTGTGCAAATAAAAAAAAAAAACGTGAAAATCAGTCCGTCCATTTCCTTTCCGCTTTCGGGCATTGCAAACGCCCACGTATTGACCCGCAGCCAGCCAGCATAGCGGTGAAAAAGGTGTGCTTGTGACCGCTGAGCCCGCAAAGTCCAAAAACCGAATGTCGGACGGCATCGACTTTCCGAATTCCCGCACTTACCGTACGCGAGTGATATATCCAATGACCGTTTCGAAAATTCATTCATGTGAAAATATTTTATTACTTCGGTAACGTAAACACATTTTTTTTATAATCGCGAACAATTTGATCGGCCGCTCGCCACTTTGTTTTGCTATTATTGTGTGTATTATTATTATACAGTTAACAATTGAACAACTGGAGTTTCGCCAAACGCGAACATTTTATATTTTAAGGGTGCCGTGGTCGTAAAAGTTTGGGGACCTCCGTAATCTAAGTATGTTGACCAGTGTAGGGTAAAGTGGAATTTACAACCGGCTGCCGTGCTGCTGAACGACTCGTGTTTATAATATTTCCTGGTCGATCGCATACCATTATTACTGTTATTATCATTATCATTGTTATTACTACTATAATTTTCATTACTATTATTGTTATTATGTCAAAAAGCAGAAAGTACAAATTATTATGTTATTTCCTATTCTTAAAACTTTTTTTTTTTATTCGTTATAGGTATGTTATAATTGTACGTGATCGTTTTAAATTAAAAATAGGTAGCACAGAATTTTTTCTGTTTTTCTTTTCCGAAATACTTTTTTGGCTAATGGAAAAATGTTTCGAATTTTTCATATTCAATCTTAAAACATATAGCCTTTTTGTTAAATGATACTCTATTTGAAATATTTTTCAGAAAATTAATTTTCAAATTTCCGAAGTTTTATAAACAAATGTGAAAAACTGAAAAAAAAACCGTTGGAAAAACGAGACAATGTAAGAATTATAGGTATCAGCTAAAAGTATTGTGGCCTTTTTTTCTGTGGACAACTTTTTTACTAGCAATTTTGCTCCAAATTTTTATGATAGCAATTTTTCTAAAAGGAAATTTTACTGGAGAGGTACTTTAAATTGGCCAATTTTCTCCAGAGTTTTCTCAACAAATGTGAAAAACTGAAAAAAAAAATAACTGAGAAAAAACGGGTAAATGTACGAAAAACAGACAAATCGGTACATTAAAGATTATTAAAGATAATAATATAAAATACCTATTTAATTATTTTACCATAATATGACATGCATATTGTTGACAAAGCATAACTATCAATTGAACTCCGCTCAGAATCGTTTTTTCGTTAACAGTGACTAATCACTAACTTAAATTTTGGTGTTACAAATTGAATCATTAAGTTTCTATAACTTTTTGAAGTTTAGAAAAATCTTTAAAAATCCATAGAAGAATCGATTAATTTATATTATTTAATTGTGGATAGTTAAAATTATCTTAAAGTTTTAAAAATTATATCGATCGATTACTAACATAAACTATGCACATAAACGACAAAAAAAACGCTGACACCAAACCTGCATCATTGATTTTTGGGCTTGACACGACAGTGCATTTCATTTTTCATGACGAAAATGTTGAAGATTACGAACACTTCAACTTTCACGGCAAATTGACAAAACTATTTTTTAACATGATTATACTATAGGTAATAACATTATTATTGTTATCATCGCTGTCGTTCGTGCGATATTCTTGGTTTAACATATAATAATATTGCGAATCAACAATAATATTTCTGACTACGATGGCGTGTTTAGGTCCAATAATAATAATAATAATGATAAAATAAAACGTTAATAATATCGTTTCAATGTAATGTAATGGCTGTTAAATAATCGCGTAACTAGAGGTGGGGCTAGTCTAGGTGCAATTGTAGAGAAATCCTGGCCGCTCGAATTACTCATGATCAGGGTCTTAATTAATACCTATTGTTTTTTTAAAAACAATTTTGTTATTATTATTTCAAATTCAGAAGTTAGAACGATGCTGTATTTATTTTAGAGTTCTTAACTTTCGTAATGATTTATAAAGTCAACAATCGTATATTTAAATATACACTCATTATTATACCCGTATATATAACTCTGCACATACCTTCTACGTAATAATATGAATTGCATCTTAAATTATAATTGAGATGTTCATTATTATTAGCACGTGGACTCCACTCAATGGAATGAACATCAAATTTTGTGAACAAAACTGAAAAATATATTACGTACCTTCAGCCACTCAAGTACTTCTATAAGTCTGAAGTACTCCAAGTCTACTCCTACAGTGAATCTATACAGAGTGATTTACTGAGCCTGCTAACAATTTGTTAAATTTTAAAAACATTCAAATTCTGATTTTGGAATCTTTATATATAGTTAAAACCGATATTTTGGATTACTTTTTAGCGTTGCTGAAATATATTGAACAAGAGGTTTTTTTTATAAAATGTGATTCCATTTTAACGAAATGTTTATGTATTAATCGTTTTATTGTCACAACGTGAGAGTTAAAATTTCGAAAATTACCATAAAACGTGTGTGCTTAGGCACTCTTTGATCGGGAGGCCAGTACTATCTGGAATGGCACATGGAAAGGCAGTATTTAAAATGACAAAAACAGAAACGAAAAAAAAAGTACGAACACGCTTCGCACGATGGGTGGACTACTGTTATAGATGAGAAGTTAGGAAGGTAAGATATAAAGGGGAATTTAATGCATATCTGTAAGCAAAGATTAATCATTAACGAAAAATGATTCTGACCCCTGAGTAAAGCTCGGTTAAAATAGTATTGCTTTTTCATAAATACATATGTTATATTATAGTAAAATAAATGTAAATTGAATACAATGATTTAGACATTAACATAATTTGTTTCATTTAGGTAGTAAAAATATTTTCCTATTATGCTATCTCATATTTTTAATTGATCTATAAAATAGAAAATAGGGATTTACAAGTAGTGTTATGTCATTTTTAATGTGCAGAAGGAATAATCTTTTATGAGTTTCCCGACTCATTTGGGTGAGAATCCCGAAATATTGTTGGAAAAATGTTGTACGAAAAAAAACAAACTCTGACCAAATTTTGTCGTTTTAGATAATACTGGATGCATTTACCCGATCTTAAAAAAGAAAAACCTTATTTCAATTTAAGTTAGTTCATTCGGCCGAAATATTTCATGTAACCGTTCGAGTGAAATGCACTTTGATTCCTTCGCCGTATGTTGAACTAACATGATACTGGTTTTTTGAGATATTTTAATCATTACATTTAGAATAATTATAATAATATATAACGAAACATTTTAATTATATTGAGATATACAAGTATATAATGTGTATAAAGAATTAAATTTTAATTCTCGTATATATTTTAAGATTAAAAGTGTTTATTCATTTAACTCAATCAACAATGAAAAACAAAGTTATACATAGCAGACACTGTTTAGGTATTAATTATGTAAGTTATTTTAAGATAAATGTAAATAATAATAATACTAAAAGACTAATAACTAAAATCTAGAAATAAAAATAATATCGTTATTTTTATTTTATTTTATTTATTTAAACTTGTATATTACGATTTGACCCTTGGGTTCGCCTTCGCTACACCCTCATCTGTGATGAGTTTTCATTTACCACGCATAGATGAACAGAAGTGATTACTGATTAAAAATAGGAGAATTGGACAAAAAATATCGGTTGATTTAAAAAAAAAAAAAAACAACAAAAAATTAAATCTAATCCATTCGTGAGTACTTATTAATCATTAAAAATAATAATAATAATAATAATAATAATAATAATAATAATAGGTTATACTTTTGATTGGGCTTTTTTGCAAATTATTTTTAAATCCGGTTTATGTGGCATGAAAGGTTTGCTATTGGAAAACTACGGTTACTATTACGATTATTTTTTTCCCGGTAAAAACGGACTAAGCCTTAAAACGTTATCACGTGATTCGGAGCGTACTTAAGCTCTCGCCATTTGCGCATGTTTCACTTTTGTGGGTTTGTAAAAATATCCTCAAAAACCTTTTTAACTTAAAAATTTAAAAATGTGTGTGTATTTACTGTGTACAATAAATCTTTGCAAACAGAAACCGATCGAGCAAAAGATTATTAATAGAGTTAGTCGTGGGTTTTTGTCCCGTAGGCAAGGTAACTTATAGAAACTAAGAATGATAAAACCAATGTATACACCTATAGTGTTGTAAGCTGTTTAAATTTTATAGAAAAACTATTGAGAATCATATATTTTCAGATAAAATATTGGGTAAAAATGTGTGTATTTTAAGTTACGATATAAATTAGAGGCTTTTTAATTCTAATATTGTAATCGAAAAGTAAAATCAAAATTTCAAAAAAAAAAAAAAAACCAAATAAAGGACCTCTAAGATTAATAGTTGAAAATGTCTATACAAATTTCAAGTAATGCATCGCCGCACAGAAATTTCGTATATTTTGAGGTACTGCATGAAAAAATTGTCGACATTTGCTTAAGAAAACAAATGTTTTAAAACTTTTCGAAACATTTTTCAAAAAAAGTAGCATCTGTCAAAAATCCTTGTCTCTTAAGATATAACATGAAAAATTGGACCATTTTTACTAACCATGAAAAGTGTTTTCTAAGAATAAAAACACTTCATAGTGACTTAGAGCTTCTTCATAGATACACTATGAAACTTGAAAATAGTATTAGACCTTTTGGATTTCCTGTCGTGAACATATCCTGGATGCGGTGTTAAAAATGTCCCAATAATACGTTGTTAATAATAATTTTGGTACCCGATGCAGAGAAATGATGCTAACAATAAGACATTATTTTATCGGCCATACGGAAATGTTGTGACATCACGCGTATCCCAAGAGAAAACGGACCGACAAAGGATTCCGATGACGTTAACACAAAATAATAATATTATCGCGTAACGGCATTTTCGGGCAGCTATCCATGAATTTTATGTCAGGCTGACTTGACACAAAGCGGATGGACATAGATGGCCCGTGATTTCGTATTCCGATGGAAACAATATACTTACTATATTGCATATATCATTGGAGGAACGAGATCGATTTGAATTCCTTGCAAGGACAATACGAGTAGAGATGCGTAACTACCGATAAAAAATGTTTAATAAATTCTCCCGTTAAAATATACGTAAATTAACATACATTTTGAGAGTTGGGTGAAGTTTTTATTAGAAATAAATTAAATATATATAATATACATCGTATACATATAATATTACAACAAAAACATTTTGCCTACAACTATGTGTAAAAAAAAAATCAACAGTCATTACATTATCTCATAAGTGTTCAGCATCATAAAGTTATGATATCATTTGTGGTGCAGATTAAAATTTTTTATTTACTTGGCGAGAATAAATAAAATTTCCTAAACAGATATCATAGCAGTATTTAAGAAGACGTAAAGTATTTTAAGTATTTATTTATCTATTTAAATATGTTTATGCAGCATTATAATAATAAAATAATTAGTAAATTGCATAACTTTTCTCTATTTTTCTCTATTTATTTCTCTATTTGCTATTATAGAGCTGTTTAGCTGTTTTTTTTTTATTCGGCGTTATTTTTTAGACGTAGCTGTAGATAAACAGTGTTTTTGTTGTAAAATCATCTTTTTTTTGGGATTAATTTCAACATGCATTACTGAGGAAATATTGATTAATTATATATATATTTTTTTTAGTTGATTTATTGTTAGGTGCACATTATGATTATTATTTCAGAAAACTTTCGGATTGAATCCTAGCAACACCTAAATTAATTTTAATTTAAGTATAAACCTATTGGTCCATATAAATATTTTTTTCGGTAAAAATTCTGAACATATCATTGCCCATAACTTCCGTTCTATTGAACCGATTTCCATGAAATTAGAAAAAAACACCTCTCAGTAATATTTTCAATGTTTTGATATAAATTAGAATTCAATTGATTTTGTAACTTCATAGTTATGCGTGCACAAAAAATATGAGCCATTTTACATTTGTTTCAGTGGGAAAGTTGTTCGATATAATATACTCAATCGTTCGCTACGTTACTTTTTTATTTTTACTTAACGCGTGCAACGACCGTTGCACTAAATAAAACAAATATTAATATAAGTATAAAATAAATATGAAATGAAAATAAAGAAATAATATTATTATGACGATTGTTTCTTTTATTTTTTATAAAATAACTCAATTAATTTCTGGTCTTAAAAAAAAAAAAAATAGTACCTAATAAACAACAATAAACTGTTTGCATTCTATTAATAGTAATACAATTTCAAATTTTAATATTTGAAGTTAGGAATATATTGCAACTATATAATAATAAAGAAATTTAAAAAATCAGCATCGCTTGAATATGTTTCACTATCCCCGACATCAGTGACGCCAGAGTGTTTCATAATACGTATAACATGATGAAAAATTATCATCCACAAAATCATATTAGTTAATACACATTATTTAGAGTTTTTTCGTTAGATTTAGTGATTGCAATACCTTGTATGTTGGTCAGGCGCCACTGCACAATAAACGTAATGATAAAACGCTAATTTTCATGAGATTTAGAACTTCGGTATAAATTTTAAAATTTTAAAATAATACGGTTCATGGGCGGGGGATCGTATGGCCGATGACTACTTTGAATTCCTCTGTTTCTTTGCCAGTGGCCGTAAAATATGTATTACACGCTTGACTGGTAAGACATTTCGGAACAAATTTACCTCTATCGATTTTTCGTCATATTTTTGTAGGAATAGCCTAAGACCTATTTCCCCACCGTAACGTTTAAAATTGGTTTCCACACATATATAGTTTATTAATCGGATAAAATTGTTCACTTGGCGATGTTAACAAATACGTTCGAAAAATCAATCGAGACGAAAACCGCCGTACCTACAATACGGCAAATAAACCGCCGGAACAAAACTCAAGTCACTTGGGAAATTATGTTTTATTTTTTTATTATTATTTAACCGTTTATATTTTATTTATGTCACCCGTTACGCAAGAATATAAGTTCATTCAGTGAAAAAAAATAAAAATAAATAATAATAAAAATATCTATATGCAAATGCGCGATTCTAATAACGTGTTCGAATCGAGGTTCATTTTATATTCAAGTCGTATCGCAGAAATAAGGTATGCGTTTCGAAATATTCAAACGGCCTGAACTAGGTTTAAACCGACCGAATAAATCGATCGTTAAGTGTCGTGTAAAGTTTAAGTAACGCCATTACCGTTTTACCATAATACAAAATGAAAACAATATCACTATTAATGTGTGTACTTACACACTGTAAATGAGTCATCTTTTTTCGACTACTGACCGAACCCTCAAACAAAGATACTAGATTATTTTCTAAACGGTTCGGTCAGTTAACAAAAGTATTTTATAGTTTTTCTCTAGGTGTCCTAATTTCAAGTCTCTATGAATATTTTTAACTGAATTATAAAAAAAAATTAATAAAAATATTATTTTCGTAAATTTTCCCGTTTTTCTTGCATATTTTTCTTGGTTTTCCTGATATTATGAAAACTGCTAGGAAAATTAAAAATTTACCTTCCTATAGTACTACCTAGTCAAAATGACAATATTTTCTTTCAAAAAAGTCCTACACTTACATATTGAAGCAAAATATCGGGTAAAAATTTTTGTCACAGTATATAAAAAAAAAGACTATGTAAATTCAATAGGTACATATTTCGCTGCATTTAGAATATAAAATTTAAATTATATTAATCATTTCTAATTTTGATTCTAAAAATATATTTATAATATCTGCAAATCGATTGTTCCAACTTAGTTTTCTATAAGTCTATCCCGCCTTTGAGAGAATATTTATTTAAATTTATAAATGAGAAATGTTTCATTCTTGTTTCATTCAAAGTATTTCGAAGATTCGGGAATTATGTTTATGCCATTTGGAACCAGGTGCATTTATACTTATTTGTGCTTAAGAATTATGGATATTTTGTACAAGAAAAAAGAACATCACATGGCCTATGGGGGAGAGCGATCATCCCTTTAGCCGCCCCTCCCCCTCAGATACGCGCCTGAGTATAGTTGAATTTATAATATAAATAATATTGACGCTTTCGTATAATTTATTATACAAATTTTAAGGAAGTTTATGATTTCTTCGTTGTGCCTTGAATTAGGTAGAAGTGAAGTACTAAGGTTTTCGGTTATTCAGGTTAATTTGGCATTTTTGGAATTAGAGATTTTATTAAACGGCTTCATTAATATATGACCGCAGGCCTCAAGTTTTGGACTGAGACTATTGTCTAGGAACTCGATTAAAATGTTGATAAATTTATTGAATCTGAGATTGAATTTTTTGGTAAAAAAAAAAAAGAAAAATGTTAATACATTTTCAATCCGTTTGACTCTATGTGGTATTTCCTCGAACTGTTAACCCGTCGACAACGGTACGATCGAAAAGATTATTGTTTTGCGATTTCGTGATCTTATAATAAATAAATACTCACAATATGCAACGAAAGTTACGTGCAACTTGATTTTAACCATTTAGGTACAATTTAGGGCAGTTATTAGGTAGCGGTATTAACTCTAGTGCCTAATATAATATAATATCCATTTCCTTTCGTGGTGGAGCAACGAAAAGCAGCAAACATTAACAAATTAATTAAAAAAATTAAAAATTTGTTTTTGTATTATTACTAGATTAAATTACTTACAATTACGCAAGTGTGTTACTTTTTAAACACAAGTAGTAAAATATAATAATCTTGAATAAATTATTAAAATCTCCTATTATGCGTAGAGGTCTGTGAATTTCCCAGAAAATGCGGTTATTTGTTATATTCGTCAAGTTCAAACGTAGGTATTCACATTTGAATCTATTGACTTAAAACCGAGGTTTAAATAAAAAATTAAAAATTTTGTTTATAATAAATTTAAAAGTTATGAGCAATTTAGTATTTAATGTTATAAATAATATAAACGTCATTAAATGTATGCATTTATTGACGTTATTCAATTTATGTGTTTAAACGTTATTCAAATTTAAAAATGTATAACATTTGTCCTTTTAATCTTTAAATGTTTTAAACATTATTTGGCTTTAGCAGTTTAAATATATTTTTTTTTAAATTTAGATTTAAATTCTATGTTAAATTAAAAATAAAGAATTTGAATCGTTATTAAATATTTACATTTTAACACTAATTTTATATATTTTTAAATGCAACTATTAAATTTCTGTAATGATAAAACTGTTTAACTAGAATCGAGTATATCCATGGTCGCGGACTGATATTCGGCCACACTAACAAAGAAATCAAACATAAATAACCTTTGTGAATAGTATACGGAATTATAATTTTTAAAACTACACAAACGTGTGAATATTTGTCAATTAATGGGTTCAAAACTGTAATTGTAGCGAATTGATCAATTCCAAATACTAAACTTAAAAATGCATTTTGAACTGATAATAAAAATTAAATTATTAATATTTTCCTTTATTGTCGGATAAAAATTTAAAACTAAAAATAATTTTTTGTTGTCTGTTATAGTTTCATGTTAAATATTTTAATTATATTATTTTTTATTGTTATTTGTTTAGAAACGAATAAAAAATAACATAACATTATTTGTTATTCGTTTCTACCGTTTATCGTTTACTGATATGTAATCTGTTATCGATAATAATCGTTTTTTAATCTTTTGAAGTTATAATAATGACGTTCAAAAACAAGTTTTGAAGCCCCACTTGAAATCAACTTCATTATTTTGCAACAATTTGTAACGCCAACTATGAAATTTGCAACACTGTCTATTATCCGTAAAATCCGATTTTCTATACTTTATATTAATTTATTTGAAATTATAATGCTAAACAAAATTGTTGGTACCTATTGCACATTACCAGAGTTTCACTTAATAACTTAAACACTTATTATTAAATTGCAAACAGGGATGGACTGAGACTATACAATTGTGACCATGTTTATATATTTTCTGTATACAGTAAAAATACCTATAAAAAACATATTTTTATATTATTTAATATAAAAATATTTATGTGTTTCGTAGGTGGCAAGTTATATAAAATTTCAAAACTTAATTAATAATATGCTCTATACGTGTTAATTCGTTCTTAATAATGTACCGGAGAATTCCTCGGATAATTAATTAATTGATGTTAATCTGAATCTATATCGTTGGTAAACATGTGAGCACAAAGCTCACAGAGTACACAGATAGCATTTTAAAAATTGTAAATCATTATAAATCTAAAGATATATCTAATGATATTTTGACGCCAGAAAAATTGGGTTCAATTATAATAATAATCATTATTTTTCAATAATAACAGTATATACAATAATTTTTACAAGAAAAATAAACACATTGGCATTTCCTCAATAAGCATAGCATAGCATATTAGAAATCATAGAACATTAACTGGTTTTTTTTTTTAACTCTGAGTAGGGCTAGGAATGCATTCTTTTTACCAATATGTGTCCTTATTTAATTATTTATTTTTTCATCCGCGTCTCAAATAAAACGTATACGAGGCGTAGGTTTTTTTTAATATGATACCACTAATCCAAATATGACTATGAAAAGAAATCCATTGATTGTTTAAAACAAAAAAAATGGGAAACCAAATTGAAGAACAAAAAATTGTTTTGGTAATTATAAGTAGGTATATTCAAAAAATGTCAATGAATACATAAAAATTGTTTGGTTTTTTAAAGACCTTACATTTTCCAGAAAATAAAGAAAAATACTATCTTGTTATTATTATTTATGTTTATTGTATTTTGGTGGTTCTCAAAATAATTCTATTTATACGCATCGATTTAGAACCAAATATCGATTGATTTTAAAATATTATTTCATCATTTATTTATTCGTATCGATTCGTGTCCGTAACCGTGTATACTTATACTTCTAGAAGCCATTGCAAATGTTGTCGTTATGTTACATTATTTAAAAAATATTTACCCCTCCGACAGAGGGTCTCTTCAATTGGGTTAATTTTAATTTGATAGTACTTCAAAAAAAAAAAAAAATATATCTATATATACAGGATGATTTTTTTATCATGAACTAGCAATTATCTCAGAGGATTTTAAGTGAATTTGATTTCTGTTTTTTCTAATGACTATGGAATCGTTTAAGCTTTATTTAAAAACTATTTTTAATTTTTTACTCCTACTCAATATACATTAAATAAGTGCATACTCTTGATTTTCAAATAGGAACCCCTCTTTTAAACACTGATTTGAATAAAGAATATTTTTCTAAAAATGTTAGTATGCATCACAATATTATCAGATTTACTGTTTATGAGTTATAACAAATTAATGTTTAGACCGGAGGAGTAGAGAAGGGTCTTAGATAGATAAAATATTCTTTATTTTAATCTTTGATCTTAAGGGTTGGGTGGTTCCTAATTGAAAATCAAAAGTATGCACTTATTTAAGGTACATGGAGTAGGGGTGAAAAATTAAAAATTGTTTTAAAAGCCTAAACGATTCCATAATAATTAGAAAAAATAGAAATCAAATTCACTTAAAATTGTCTAAGATAATTTCTGGTTCATGATTAAAAAATCAAATTGTATAAATATACATATATATTGATCTTTTTTACATGCAAACCTTTATCATGGCGTCGCTTTAACGATTTTCTGATTGGAAACTTTACTATATTAATTTACATGTATTGTTTATGACAGCGAAATACGGCACAAGTTTCTTCTTCACCGGCTGGAGAAGGATGGCCTGCCGGTGTCAGTCATCTATACCCTTGAAAAGCGATATTCAGGAAATATTATAATAGTCTCGATGAAAAGTCGAACTTTGTTCAGGCGAAATAATGTATAATATTGGTCTTATCCAAATATCAAACGAATTTAAATTGTATAGATAACATTATAGTAATGTATTTTACAGGTATCCATATCAACTTTAGCACCGTATAAGTATTGAACCAATTCGATTAGGGTATTTGTGTCAAATTTGGTTTTTAATGTAGCTTAATAATACAAGTCATGGATATTATATCTAGATAACTATACACTAAATTATAGAGAACCGATAAAAACCAAGCTCAAAAAGACAACAGTTTCTAAAAAAGAAAATCTTCCCTGAAAAACTATTTTTATCAAAATTTGTAAAGGTTTAAGTTATCTTAATTATCGTTTTCCTTTTTCTTTATACTCCCTTCTTTTTAATTTTTGTACTCTTATAGGCTATATTGTATACATATTTTCTCCACAAAATCGCTGCTAAATGATTGGCGGCTGTTTTTAAAGATTTTACCCAACTGCTTTAATTTATCGGTGCATTGAAGACAAAACAAATCGAGGGAAAATTATTTTGTAACACACAGTGTGTGAAATTTCCAAAAAAAAGTGGCTGAGCATTTGATCAGGTATTTGTGTCGAATTTCGTTTTTAATAGAATAAATTCACAGGTACACCTATAAAGTTAATGTAATACAATATAGATTATATATCTATACAAGCGTTCACCTTACATCCATTCGTTTTGCGCATTGAATGTATTGTCATATGGTCATTATGTTATATGCATAAATAAATAATTGAATATATTAAAGATAAAAAATATAAAAGGAATAATGTAATACTATATTTAGATTCTGAGTGGAGTGAGGAATGTATTGGTTTTACAATGATGTAAAATGTTACATTCTTAACCATAAATGATTTAGAGCAACTTTTCCTAGTACATATTTTTAAATGTTTAAGATTTTCGTCAAAATATGATTTGAAAAGGCTTAAGAAAAAAAAAATGCAATATAATCAAATTTGTGTTTTTGATCACTAAGTAAAACTTGTGTTAAATTTTCTAGAATTTCTCTTAAGTCATATAATATTAATAATAGATACCTACCAATGAAATAATATATAAAAACACCGAAATATCAAATACTTATAAATGATCTAAAAATAGTTCGAATTTTTAGAATATTTCATTACGTCTATAAGGACCATTAAAATTACTTTGTTAAATTATTGATCTTTACAATAATTTTTAACCGAATGATAAAAAAAACCCCAAATGCCGTACACTTTGCTATATTTCTCACGATTTAGATTTTGAGCGGATCGAGGAATGTGTTTTACAACAATATACATTTTTTTTTCTATGAACAACTTTTCTACCAGCAATTTTGCTCCAATTTACAATGATAGAACGTTTTTTTAAAGGAAATCTTACTAGGATGGTACTTTAAGAAAGTATTTTTTTGATTTTTCGAGTAGTTTTCCGAACACATTGGAAAAATGAAGGAAAAACGGGAAAATAGGTAATAAAATAATATTCAGAAAATATGTAATGCATACTCCTATGTAATTATTTTACTATAATATAACATATTGTTGCCAAAGCTATTATTTACACTATTAACCGAACTCCGATCAGAATCGTTTTTCGTTAGCAATGGTTAATTGTTGTATACAGATATACATTAAATTTCCCCTATATTTTCCCAACTTCTCACCTATAACAGTGGCTCACCCACGTACGAAGTATCTCCATCTTTTTAATCATGGCAATACTTTGAAAGTAAGAAATATTATTCTACCATTATACTGTTAACAACTTTACCTACCTAATATTAGTATTGTTTATTCCAAACAATTTTATTTTGTGCAATCTGTCCGTAGAGAATACTATTATATTATAAATAAGAACCGTGGTAGGTATAGTAGGTACCTACTTACCGTAATTGAAACGGTAAAGTTTCAACGGAAATTACAAAATCTTAAAAATGTTATCATACCTATCGGGGATTAATTCAAATACTTAATAACTTATACAACTTTTAAAATTTTCGGGGATTTGTTTTTCAATATAATGTATAGGTTGGTACTCACCGTAGACACCGTGAAGTTGGGTTTACCATTAAAAACTCAGCTCTCGGCGACGACACTGTTACACAACCGTCAGTTTTATAGGAAAGAAAACGGAAAAAACGAACTTTGAAACTTTGAAAAAAAAATTTGTGTCCAAAAATACGCGCACGCACACGAAAACGCGATGCTGACAGTTATATCCGATGACGAAGATTGCAGAAACGTATTAGAAACCGTGGTCCGCCATATTGAAACTTAAGCATATACCGGTCTGAAAACATTCAGCCCAATAGAAAACGAGATGATCGTTATTATACCATGGTTGTGGGCCCTGATCCACCCACCACCAGTGTGACCGATTACGGACCGCGACAGGGTTTTTTTTCTCCGGCCGATTTACACTTGTGGCAGACTGGTAGGTACGCTAAATCCACGACGGGCCCGATCTACACACTCGCGTACAATTCGAGCCGTCACGGGTCCGTGTTCGCCCCGTCATTTTATTGTGTCTGCCAATGATGATTCTCGCTACGAAACACCGGTTGTTGACGGCACCTCTCCTCTGCCTCCCCTCGCTACATTCGCACAATTCTCGCAGTAAATTAACGACGGGACGCGTTCGCAGATTCGCCGTTGTGTTGTGTCGTTTTTGACGTGCGCGTGCAACAATAATAGTATACCTTTTTGAAATTACATTAATTCTCTAAAGACGTCAAATAATATTTTTCGGATTTCGTTAATTATAATAATTAATTTTCTTTTAATATTTCGGAAACAGCCCGATTATATTTCTAATGTTTATACACCGGATCTTTCTTTGTTTAATGGAGAAGTCCCTCTACCAACTGACGAGTCTAATAATAAGTTAAACTTAAGCTCCTGGACTAATGATCTCAATAAAATCGTTGATTATTTTAGCTCTATAAATTCTCATGCTGGGACTAGACCTGATGGTATACCACCTATGTTTTTTAAAATCATGTAGCTCTGTTCTTGCATGTCCGCTTCATTTGAGTTCTAATAAATCATTAAGTTTGGATTATTTTCACAACATTTGGAAAAAAAATCTTGTAACGCCAGTGCATAAATTAGGTGATAAACATAATGCTACAAATTGTAGACCGATCTCCAAAATGTCTCTTATTCCAAAAATATTTGAAGCTTTAATTATTAAAAAGTTGTATTTAATTATGTCCTTATTGATATGTATAATCAACATGGTTTCAGACCCAAATTATCGATTTCTATTAATATTCTACTTTATCAAACGAATATCCTTTCGGCATTAAACGAACGTGTTCAATTGTACACTATTTATACTGATTTCCAAATTTTTCTCTGAATTTCAAGAACAGCAACTTTTTCTAAAATTAAATTTTTGTGAAGAGGCGCTTTTTTAATTTTCTCAGGGGTTTTCATATTACATGAGAAAAACCAGAATAAAACTTAAGAAAACTGGGAAAATTTACGAAATTTATTATTTTCAAAGCGTAAATATTATGGCCTTTCAAAACACGTGCAACCGAAATTCGCTCAGAATCGTTTTTAATTAACAACTATTAATGGTTACTTATAGATATACATTCACTTTCTCCATTATCTTTCCAACTTCTTATCTACAACCGTGGCCCTCTCATCGTGCGAAGTATGTCTGTTTGTTTTTCCATATTAAGCAGACTAAAATGTAAAAATATATACACGGTCTGTTGGCGTGCACAAACATACGCCGTGTCGCTATTCGTTCTGCGTACAATGAAATATATACGACGTTTATTGTATTCGGAAAATGAATTATTTACGACGCGTGACGCTGAGAAAAATAGTCCTACGCAATAAGACGATTTATTTTATTTTTAACAGTCGTATTTTTCCACTAATATGGGTACCTGTTGTTGAAGCAGTAGTTGTGATATTAAGGCACGGCAGTTTTCTTTTAATAATATTTCTGCGTTCATATTGTGACGTGTACGACGGTGACAATACGCGTATAATAATGATACGTTACGCATACGTTATGCATACAATTTTTTGAGTGATTGTTTTGAAATATATTCATATTTCGATTTTTTTCCAACATTGACTGAGCGGTCAGTTCTTAGGAAAATTGTCTGTGTCCAATAGTGGACACATAGTAAAGTTCGTCGGGCATCCATTATAGAGTAAGATATTGCTTATGTATGACTACTAGAAAATAAATAGTAACTAATCGAGTTGGTTGATTTTATAACGAAATATTTTATATAGGAAATAATATCACTGGGGATAGAGGTAACTGGAGAAATTCAAAAATAAATGAGAAGGTTTGATTTGTATGGTCGCTTTTAGGGAGAGGGTGTGTCCATGTTGTGGATATTCACTAAAAAATTCTGTATCACCCAAAGTCGAAAAGCAGTTAAATATTCGGTGAGTAGTTAATGGGTATTCCGTATAATATTGCCCTTCAAAGTCAAAATGCAGTATTACACAAATTTAATATTTTCGAGAAAAATAACCTTTTCTTAATTGTCTTTTCGTTTTTTAATTCTTGTCAGTATTAAACAAAAATACTACAATGCGAGGAATCATGTGAGTAATGTGTACAAAATAATCTTACAATGTGTTTATCAATGAATTAATTAATTAACACATTGCCTTTTCGCTTGATAATATTATGTTAGGTAGTGCTTTATTGCTTAATACTATTCCTATATTTGAAAAATGCGTTTAACCACAATTATTATGCAATCTATTGCCTTTACAGTATTTTTGCTAAGAATTCAAATCAAAAGGACGTGGATTAAAAAAAAAAAAAAATGAGTTAATATTTGTTGATATATTTATTTACTTATTTGTAAAAAAGTAATTTTTAAAATGTTATCATTTAAACTACCCTTTGGCATAAAGCAGTATAGATATGGTTTTCTATGGCCAATTGGTTGTTTTTTCTTTTGTGATTTAAAAAGTATCGCGTTCATACCGTGCCAATAATATATAGGATCGCTACTCACTGCTCCATAAATCCGAAATATTATTCGATTATAGTTTTGTTTATTTTTGCAGTACCTACATAAACGAATTTACGAGTGCATATAATATTTACAAAGGGGGCAAAACCAAATTGATTCCCGCTGCTGTCATAAAACGCCATTATTCAAATATTAGATACGAAATACCAAATTGGGGTTATCCCCCTGGCGGACGGACGATTAAATAAAAAGGAGAGTGACTACCGTTATTGAACTTTCCTTGGCATTACGTATGAAAAAAATAACTGACGAATCGCATCGTTCTAAAGGCTATTCCCAAGTAACAATTTCCGTGTGCAGGGTCGGTTTCCTTTCCCCATGCCCACAACATAGTGCAGACCCTATTCAGGAATGCAGAAAAAATTGAACATGGTGCACGTTTTGGGTTAAGGTGATAATTATGACCATAACAAAAAGAAGTCGTTGCTATTATCGGGCCTCGCAATATTTTTATTATATGGTTTAACAAACCTTACATAAGAAGCAAAAAACAAGATATGAACAAGGAAATGATTATAACAATAATTTAAAAAAATATCTTAATAAATACAAACAAGGTCAACGTGCTACTAAAAATTGGTTAAAAAGTTTTTGATTGGAATTAGATTTATGTTAGAAAAGTTGCTTAAAGACACAAAAAACATTCCCTAATAGTACTTTTCTCGGAATCTAAAAAATATCAAAATTTCGATTTACGAGATTTTGCTAGATAGTTGATACGTAACGTATCGTTGAATGAACAATGCAAAGATTACATTTTTTTTTGTATTCCATTATTTTCGTAAACGAGTTAAGATCAAATGATAAGGTAAAGGTTGGTAGGAAGGTACCTACCCGACTTTTTAAATCAACGTTGAATGCCAAAATCTCGAATTATCAACTCAAGTTTGATTTGCCTAACTTATACGACGTATTTCCAGTGTTTGGTAATAACGTTTATTTATTCCACGACTCTCGCAACTCGTTATGCAAATTACACGGCACTAACGGAACAAAAGCAGAAAAAGTAAGCACCGACTGTATCAAAACTTATATACATATATATATATATATATATATATATATTATGTAAGTTTTGTTAATAGGGCACGGCCGTAATAGAGCTGTTGAAACTGTAGTAGTTTCGATAACACGATACTTCTAACTAAATATATACAAGATATATATTATATAGAACGTGTGTGGGTTTTGTCAGATATCCCTGCAAATGTATAAAACTTTACGATATCGTTTTTTTTGGCACAAGATCATATGGCTTGTACCCTTGTCGTTATAACTTATAAAAAAAAAATCAGTAATATCTCTTGTTACGTCGTAATGCCCCTTTACGGCAGGTCGTCGAATAATAATAATAATAATGAAACTAGCCAATCCACAAATAAAGACATTAGCTAATTCTTTTGTTTCCTAAAGCATTGATGGGATCTAACGTTCTGTTCGGATAACTTATACACATACTACGCAATAATTTCGAATAAAATAAAATATATCTGTACACACAATAATCCGAATTGTTTTCCGGGTTTGATTTTTGAAGACCATTTATTATTGTTTCCTATATTACATTATTTTAGAATCTGAATTTAGTGAAATAGCTATTAGTCTTACAAATATATAAGTAGTAAAAATACTCCAGATCGTTAATACTGTACCTAAAATGATATAGAGTTTTCTTCCATTGGTACTATATGTGGACAGTTTTTCTAAATTTTCAACAATTTTTTTTATAATTAAAAAAAAAAAAGAACTAACAGAAAGTTATGATATTATATATATATATATATATATATACATTGGTTATGTTTTTGTTGGATTTTGAATTAAATTGGTTACAGGGTAAAAACACAACCTATAGTATATAATATAATACTGAACTAGTTTTCCAAATTCTTATCAGAATCAATTTTAGAATTTTATTAGACTCATCGGTGCTTTCAGTACTAATATAAACTAAATTACTCTGTATTCAATATCTTCTAGACTTCTGACCTACATCAGAGGCTTACAATCGTGGTGCAAAGTATATCAGGTATTTATACTATAATTTATAAATTCAAATATCATATTATTGTAATAAATTGAAAACTAACTGTTTTAAGTAATAATATAATGAATTTTGAATCGGTTAAAATTTGAAATATATATCAATTTTATAAATTATAATCTATAAAAACGTTTTAAACTCTGAGTAAAGCCAGGAATGTATAGGTTTTAGTTTTTACTATGATGTATTTTTTTGTGTCTGTAAACAACTTGTCTACCTTATCTTGCTCTATAGAAACTTTATAGATACTTCACTGTACCATTTTGATCAAATTGTTGCAGTGTGTATTATGAAGTCCTTTTTTTTATTTCTCAATTCTTCTGTCGTTTTCTTAATAGATAGGAAAAACTGGCAATCTGTTGTAAAATTTGTGTTGATTTCTAGGTGTTCTTGGTAACAAAGAAAAATAAACAACTAATAATAGTCTGTTAAAAATTATTTTTCATTGGCAATAATTTATTGTTATGTACAGATGTAAATTAAATTACTCCATATATTCTTTTCAACTCCTAACTCCTTCTTTTCAACAGTATCTGTCTTTTTTTCTTTTTTTGAAATTTATCCATTTTTTTTTGAAAATGTTTTATGCGTGTGCTGCAAAATAATATTGGGAACCAATATTTTTGGATTTCGATTTTTTGGTTTGGTATAAGAACGAATATTTAGATGTTGTTTGCAGTGATCGTGGATCAGTGGTGATATTAGTTATTTGTAAAAGGACACGTTGAATAAATTCAATTTCAATCACAGTTTTATTATTCCATAACCTACACGGTGATAGATACGGTGTGCGGCATAGTCGTCGTCACTTAGCTATCAAGTAAACCGCACGACCTATATATTGATCCGGTGACGCGCGCGGGGACGTGGAAAAATATTTATTTTTTTCGTTTTTCATCTATAAATAAGTCTCGTTTATTGGAAACGTTAAAGGGGTGAAAAAACCTATTGAATACAAATACGTACCAGGGATTGGTATGACAGCTGCGGAGCGGTGTGTGGTGCCGAGAAAACCATTACCAGATGGACGTCATCGGCGACGATGTGTGGCGGAGAGACGTGACGTGACGCAATAAAAACCGTTTCCCGGACCGTAGAGACACGTGGCGTATGTGAATGTAGCGGTGTGGATAAAACCAGTGAGGGACGGGAGGGAACTATAGTGTAACAGATTCGTGTAAAACGATGAAGTCGGTATAATGTGGCTGTGTGCATATCGGTTTTATTATCGTGTGTACGCGATCGTTTTAACTGCAAATTGACTTGTCATGAAAACTCGAATCGGAAAACGATGACGACAGTGGTGGCGGTGACGACTAATACTATGGCCGCCACCACCGTCGATCTGAATCAATTTGTATGGCGAGCAACAGAGAAAGGGGCACAGTGAAACACTTAATTTTCAAATAAAATATTTCAGAAATACCTTAAAATTTGTTCTACGTCGGTGGGATACAGTAATACTATGAGTGAGAGAGTTTAAGTCACACTTAAACAACGACTGGTTTATTTTATTCCTAGAAAAATTTTAAAAAAAATATTAATGTTTAAAATTTGAAATATGATAAACGAATCAAGTTATTTTTTTTTTTTAAGTAATTTTATGCATTGTCTTAATTCGAAAATCTGTAGACACTACGGTCAGGTGTATAAGCTGGGATTTATTTCTTGGTTTGTTTCCTTTGATGTCCTGGACAAACCGGGAGACCTGCTTCATTACCCGGTCCGATTTGATGACACAAACCTCTCCACGGTAGCGTCGTGGATTTATTCAACATTAAGCTAACATGTGCAAATTCTCTCTGGTAGGCGAGTGTCTGTACTTTCCCACCGAGGTTGTATCTGACAAGAGACCGAGATTACGGGTTCGCCTCTCAGCGTTGTTAATCAGGGATCTTTTTCGCGTTCCAGCCATCAGCTTGCACTGTGGGGTATCCTCGGTTAACCCATTTACCTCTAGCAATGGAGATTATGTTATCAAACGCGATTCGGTAAACCTCCGGGGTTGACTGATTATCCGTGATCCGTTGGTGGTTGAGTGTCGAAATATATCCTTTTGACGTTTTATGAAAAGTAGTCCGGGTGATCTTCGGAGCTCCCATTGTTGACCCTCCTCGGCGCCGAACGGAAGGCCCGGTGTCGGCCGTGGACTAGTACCGTGGCCGGTGCTGTGCGGTTGGCTTCAAACGGGTTTATGAGTTTCGTTGGATAGTGGTTAAATAAGCCAGGGTTAGGTATCTTTGATATGAGCATTTTAAATACGATTTTTATAGATACAATTGTATCCTGTATCACAATGTGGTTTTGTAAAGTATCAAATATCTTGTAGTGTGATATCTGAGATCTTGAAATGAATATATCTAGTATGTAATCATTTTTTGGAAATATCTGATGTGCTCAAAGGAGAGGCATGCTGGGTTTTTCCCTGCTCTGGTTTTTAAAAAAAATACATTAAAAATTAAACGTATTTTTACAAAAACAGAGGGAATTATTGGTAATTTCAAAAATCAGTACTATTCAAATGTCACACGCTGCACCTTAACCGCTACTCAAATGATGCTTCAAATGATGCTCTTCTACTCTCCTAGTACTCAAACTAAAAAGTGGAATATCTCGTCAATGGGTCGACGGAAATCAAAAATGTTAATATCAAAATGAATGTTAACATATAATCCATCTGTTATTTGTATTTTAAATTTAGGTTGCTATTTGAAAATCAAAATTATGTAGTCGTTTTACCCCCATAAATAAGGGTGACAAAAATACGAACAGCCAAACATTTTATAATAATGCTTAAATTATTACATAAATATAAATGATATATGATTCTAAAATGTTTTTGCGTAACACATTTTTTTTTTTAAATATTTATTTCATGAAAAATTTGACTCCGTCCTGAAATTTGAATGACATTGTGTATATACTATATATAAATATATATATACATATATATATATATATGTATAATTAATGGACTATATTATATTCGATGGAAGAGCCGTCGTTGAAAACTTTATGAGTTGAAAATGGAAGGAGAGGAAGGAAGAGTGAGAAAATGATGACTACATATAAATTATTTGAACACAACGAAAGGCAGTTGTTTTAATGAACTAGTGTGCAAACGTGGTCTCTAATGATTCGTTCGCTCGACGAGAGAACTCAACCGCGTCGTCATCGTCATACACGTGTGTTTTTCTGAGTACAGTTTAAATACACACATACATATACTCATTAGTTGTGTAATTCAAAGTGGTTTTTTTTTCTACGCAAGATGTATTTATCAGTTTAAGAAAGATAAAAGTCCGAAACTGTTGATGCGAGTGCTATTGCTTTAAGAAGAATGTTCAACAAAATAATATAATAGAGTAAATTAATTAATATTTATCTGAAAAAAGAATCTATACAGTGATATGAATCTATATATCTACTATTATTAAGTCATATTTTTGTATGAGTTGTCAAGACAACCTAGATAATTTTAACAAAAGTTATATTATAACAAATTCCTATTATTATATTATTATCAAGCATCTAAAAATAGTTAGTTTCCAACTATTTCCCTAGAATAAGGTTGCCGCCGCACTTCCTCTGGGGTACGTTCAAAAATACAACACGAGTTAACTCTATTAATAATGTAATATATTAGTATATTACTATAATATTGTACAATACTACACCATTTCACTCTAAATTTCCGAACGTAGTTCCCCGAGAGGTCCTCAGAGTGTATAAAAGGACCAGTGATGTATCTGGAGCTCAATCAAGAGGGTGAGGTTTACAAATTGTAATTTTCCTGCAAACCAATCAATGACTACTTCTTGGACATCCATATCGATATCCTAAATGTATTATAGACAAAATTACCCTATATTATTATCACTACTTTTCGGTAATGCTGATAATGATAAATATCACGATTATAATTTGTATATTATTTTATTATCTATAGGTAATATTTATGACTTTTTTAATCACAGCTAGAAAATTTTAGGAAAGTGACAATCAATCCATCTCACCTCTTAAAATACGTCACTAGAGGGGTCCTGTCAGGGGAAGGAGGAGTTAGTATCCGCTGACCCGCTGCGATTACTAAGAACCGAACGTGTGGTTAGGTTAGGTTAGGAAAATACAAAAAAATAATAAATATTTGTCCGCCTTTTCTATATGGGTATTTCCAGTTTTCGATACGTTTCTGAATGATTTTGAGCGGTCGTTTACAGACACCGAAAAATTAAATACATTTTAGTTAAAATTATACAGCGAATTACCAGTTCATCCCGTTTTTTAAGAAAATTACAGAGAGAATTAAAAATTACCTCTCACCAACTAGATCAAATATATTTGATCTAGTTATAACACAGGCAAATTCGTATACATTTTTGACTGGAGCGAGTTTTCCGGCGGTAAAGTTGTTTATGGACACACACAAAAAAAAAACACATAATAGTCAAGCTATTAAAAGACTTGTTTCTCTCAGAATCTAAAATATTTCGTCTAATCGATTTCGTTTGCGAGAAATATTTTATAACCAGCGTAATTTTATTATGTAACGTAGTCTAAAATACCTAACATATAACTCCATTATAAATACTATTAAAAACTTCGAAAAGCGAATAATGTGATATTATTAGAACTTAATAAACTTTTAAGTCGTTATCGGATAATATTATATTATACCGTAGACATCGTCAAAATAATAATATGTTTAGCTAAAATAGCAAGTTTGGTGGTCTGAATAATAATCAATATATATATAGGTGGGGAGAGAGGGTTCTCACCACAAATTCTACAACATATTTGTCTTTTAAATATTCAAAAGACATTGACGATTTCATATTCAATATATAAATACAGTATCGACGAATTTAAAGCTCAAAAAAAAAAAAAAAAATAGAAAAGCTGAGTTATATTTTGTGCCATGGCTTATTGTGTATATTCAACTGTTGTAGGTGTGAAAACTGAGAAGTTGAGTAGGTATTGATATAATTTCGTATAGAAGCAACAGTTAATCATTACGAACGTAAAACTGCTTTGAGTGGGGCTTAGAAAACCGATAATGTTGTAATACTGGTCATGTTTTATCACCCTTGTAACCAAGGGAATTCGTAGAAATCTACTAAAATAAAACTGGTGTATCGTCATTTGTTGTTCTTTTTTTGTAATAAAATTAATTGACATTTTTTAAACTTAAAGTTTCATCGTATGAAAAATTTGCATCTTTTAAGGTATGTTGCGCGTTGTGTAAAACTCGAATTTTTCTTGCTAACAGAAATTTTTTTTTCCGAGAAACAACACGCTTCACAACATTGATAAACCACTAATATAGAGAAGCTGGAACACATATGACATATTTGATAAAAAGGCTAGTATTTATAATGGGTATTTTATTTATATTTTTGTGCAACGATAAATCAATGATAATTTCGAGTATAGAACTACACCATCTTTATCAACAACTTTACGAAAGAATTTCTATTTAATTTTCCATTAGAGTAACATTTCTGGTAGAATAATTAGTTATAAACAGAAAGAAAAATTGATCTTATAATTTATCTACAACTGTTTGATATTTTTCAGAATGTATTTGGTCTTCTTACCCTCGCTATAACTGAAATACTGTGGAGGCCTTGTAAGTCCACGGATTTTAAAAAAACTACACAATATTTTGGTGTCATATTAAGTGTAGTTTATTGGAGCTTTGTTTTAATTTAAATAATAAAACTAGAATAGAATTTAATGGTGAAATAAAAAATAAATTTCAAATGATATATTATAAAGCTACAACAATAATCACAAATAATATTATTTTGAAAAAAATTCTATTCTTATTTATTCAAATTATTATCATAGATGCTATAATGGATCGAAAATACAAGTGTTGTTTAAAATAAGTCTCACTTTTCGTTAATCTAGTTTCATAGGTTAATTCCGAATTTATATAGGTAATATACACAGAGTAATTGTAAATGTCTTGTAGTAAACAAGAAAAATATCCAATGTTTAAAACAAAAAATTGATAAATTATATTTGTTCTACATAATTTATTTACACAAACGATTTTCAACAAAATTTGATATTAAATTTCCTTAAAAAGAAAAAAAAAACTACATTAAACTCAATTATTTTTTTTTGACCACAAAGTAAAACTTTTAATGAACCTCCTGTTAAATTTTCAAGCATTTCTGTTTTATCTAACAACTTTACCACAGAGTACCTATCGAATAAAAATTGCATGCAATACTCTCAAAATTTAAATGTCTATAAATAGCTAAATAATAGCTTAAATTTTTTGAAAATTTTACCACGTCTACAAAAATTAAATATAAGTTTTCCGTCTAAAATTTAAGTCCATAGAGTCGATACAAAAATTAAAAAAACTGAATTTAAACAAATAACAAAATTGAAAAAATAATTAAAGTATTATTTTCGTAAATTTCCCGTTTTTCTTACATTTTCCCCCACTTTTTCTTTTTTATTGGGAAAACTGCTGTGAAAATCAAAATACCAACCCAAGAAAATTTCCTTTCAGAAAAGTTTCTATATCGTATACATCGTAGCAAGGTTTCTGGTAGAAAAATTGCTCAGAGAAAAAAAATATAAAAAATAAACATCATTGTAAAACCATAAGCTTCTTCACTCCGCTTCGAATCTAAAACTCGGTTGTCGTTGCTGCTACAATAAAAACATCATGGAGAGGGATATATCTTCCCGAATTTCCGCTTTAAAATTTATCACTGTGTAGACCGTACGTACTGGTTAACTGGAATTTATTTTCGCGTTCTTGACGACGATGACATTTTCGCGCCTGGAGCGATGGCGGGCACTGCTCGCCAATATAGCGGCCGATACACACGTATTACGTATAGTGGCGCATGAGGAACAAATATTTTTTATATTGCTGCTCGAAACGGAATAACACTAGACGACGGTGGATGACGGGCGGCGCGGTATTTTCGGTGTTGATTCAGTGCCCGGGAAAACAAATAAATACTACGGGCCCGTCGGCGAGACCGTATAATAAACAATATATGCTTCCCTTAACATCCCCACTCGCAGCCGTCGTCGCCGCCGCGTGGTTCTCGTCGATAAAGTGTTTGTGTTTATGAGTTTTTCGAGGAATTTCCGACGACAGCTATATTATAGGTACCGGATACATCGAAGCTACAAATTATATGTTATACGGCCGTTGGTCGGTCGATATCCGCGCGTATTCCCATAAGCGCGATCCTGATGTTTACAGGACTCGTGACCCTGTGGTCGAAAACCACAGAGAATCACGATTCACAATGATATTTAATAACCAATCTGTTTTCACGAAATAAACGGACAGAGTATAGATATTATTACTAGAGTAGAACACTTTCTATATCACTTATATTGTCGGTCATCGTGATATCAGTGTTGTTTTTGATTCAATAAACCTATTATATTATTATTAACAGATTTTTGCATCAATGTTCAGTCTACCGGATACACGGTGTGATATACAGGGTGAACACTCATCATTTTGGAAAGTATTGAGTGTAAGGGTAGAATGGTACATCATTTATATGATGGTACGCGCCTTTGAATAATGTTCCACTACTCTGTCCTTCCTCAAACTTAAAATTGGAATATCTCGTCAACAGGTCGATGGAAATCAAAAATGTCAATGTTCAAATATATGTATAATACTAATATTCCATTTATTTATTGAACTTAAAGAAGTTCAATAACGAAAATGTAATGTTTTAGAGCCGCTTTTTTCTTACTTTTTTTTTTTAAAAAAAAAAGTTATTACTTGTTGAGATAATGAGTGTGTTGTCGAAAACAGATCACACCATATAGGATTATATATATAGGGTCAGTTATGCTTATTTCGCACTAAATATTGAATAAATATGCGCGTATGCATTAAACAATAGATAAATAAAGGTACACAGCAAATAGGTAAAATATTCATTCAATACATAATGAAAATAACGTAATAAGAATAAAAAACATAAATAAAATATCAAATAAATATAAAACCTAATTTATTCATAAATACTACAAAGTATTATTTTTGAGTCACTATCGTAAAATATGCAAAAATGGTCTATATAGAAAAAAAAAACAAAAAAAAAACCGTTGATATCGTCGCACACTACCACAATAAATATTATTCAATATCGATATAGCATTTGGCGTTGACAATCGCGAGGGAAATGTCCTCCACCCGACTGACATGTTTTTTTGTATATAATATTTATACTAATTACACGACTTTATCGCTCTTCTATTTTCACAGACTCGTCCACCACCGAACTGGTAGATGTACCTACCCGGACTTAGGTCCTGGTCATCCTACACGATAAGAATGATCGTAGAATATGCGTATATACGGGAACGGAAATTTACGCTGACGTGTCAGTATAATATTTTCCGACTATTTCTTTTTTTAATTGATAAACAACATTCTATAGATAGAATTGAACTCTATTTGGTTTAATTTTAAATAATAATGGTATAAAAAATTAAGAATTGGTATTTTGTTTTTTTAAGGACATATTATACATGTTTTGACGGTAATATTATAATGCAAGAATCCATGTAGTCTTTGGAAATTTTTCTATTTTTAAAAAAAAAATCAAAATCGAAACCCTGTGAGACATGACAGTTTTTTCAGTAATAAAGCATGATTTTGAGTGTAGTTATTAGTTTTAAATATCAGCAGTTTACTTAGGCACTGAGCAGAAAACTTTTATCCGATTTTACTGCAGCAAGTTTTTATATAACTTGACAGTTATATAAAAATATACCACAGAGCGAAATTTCTAGTAGATAAATAATTTTAGCAATATTATTTTTAACTCCTAAAATTTTTCGTTATATGATGCTTTACAACTTTAAAAATATTATTTTTAGTACACTAGACGAAAATTAATAAAATATAATGTAAAACAAAATGGGATACTTAGGTTAGGTTAGGTTAGGTTTTATCTTTTGTCCCAGGGAAGAAGGATCCAAGTCAATTTTTTAGAATTTTCAATAAAAGCAAATTATATTTTGTAAATTTGCTGCATGACATAAATGGCATAACTGCTAAGAAATAAATAATTACTAAATGGTATGACTACTAAATCACTAAATAATCTAACCTCAATGAGTTTTATAAATGCTTTAATAAATTATAAAAAATTAATTTTTAGATAATTTTACAGATGAGCTATTCTTAAACAGTAAAATTGTACTTCCATTCCAAGTGAATCTTATGTATATTTTTGTGATATTTAAGGAAAAAACTATGTATTGCTACGTAACTTTCGAACTTTATGAGTAAATATGATTTATTTTAAAGTATTCTTACTTCCCTATGTTATTTAAATGAATAAACTAAATATGTGATAAGGAAGTTCTGAACATTTTTTTTATACACACATTTTTTTGGGGTAAATTTAAAACCACAGTGAAGCAATCTACAGTCTTAATTCGAAAAAAAAAGTTAAAAATCAAAACAGCCTAATATTCATACGCTTATGTCATTCAGGCCAAAATAATAAATGATAAAAATTATATTAAACAGTATTATGAATAAAAAAAGTACTTATATAAATTGACATAAGTCACTACTTCTCTGAGATAAAATATACATTATATAATGTATAATAAATGTATTTTGTATATAATTTTACGATTAAAAACGAAGATGTTTATCTGTTTTCCCAATGAACATTGTTTAGTCGGAAACGTTTACACACACAACTAGTATAAAGTTGATTCAAAATTTTGATTTTATTTTTTTTTTTTTGTATCCTGTTATTGTACACTTTTTTGTGTGTTATTCCGAGAAAATACCAGAAGAATAATCGTCGATTCGCGATTTACTTTCACTTGCGTCTTATAATTGGTATAATAATAATATTTAAAATTGAAAACATTTAAATATTTTCTAAATCAACAAATACAAAATAACCGCGATTAATTAAACACACTAGAGAATAACGAACTCATCCTATCCAATTACGCGACCACTCTCTTGTTTGCTTGTGCCTAATCAAAACGACCGCAAAGACAACGTGAAATTATTTGGAACTAATCTAAAATTAACATAAAGCTCCCTCCTTCTGATGATCGTTTGATATCATGTAATAATTTTAGTTGAAATTTGAATGTTAAACCGACACGAATTAATCGTAGATAAGTACACGTATTATAATATTAATATACCCATTTTCCCGCTTTATAACTCGAGGGCGTTTAATACAAAAACCTTGGTTAAAACCGCGGTGATTAGGGTGGTGATGAGTGTTTCTGCAGTAATATTATATAATATAATATTATAATATTATGATATTATGATAACCAGTCGCGCCACCATAAGTTTCTCTGCATATAAGGTACCTACCCGTTACGTAATCGTTGCGGTTGTTTCTATATTATTCTATACGCGTGTTGCGTCTGATTCACACACGATCGTGTTTGTTATTATATGAACTGAATCTTGAAATTTCATATACGTGAATATTATTATAACAATATATTTAATGATTACAATATTAAATTACACGTTTATTATAGTATTGGCAACAAATTTTCTGGTGTTGGCAACGATATGATATTAGACAGAGTCGGGCAATATTTTCGATACAACTACTCATATTAAAAAAGTGTATTAGATACAGTTTTATCTCTTATCGCCTTATCGCGAGTTCTGGAAAGTAACTATGAGTTCTTATACTATCTTTCAGTACTGATATCAATGTATCTAATTATCAATTATTTTTAGATACTCATTTTGAAGTGTCTTGCCCATAGACATCCAAAGGAGGGCGAGTTTGGTTCAAAAATATAAGTTTATTCAAATACTATTGAAAATATCTTCTAAAATTGTTAATATAAATGTGAATGTTATTGTGTAGTCGCCAGACCCCGGTCAACACCAAAGGTGCGAATTACCAAATATAAGTTGCATCTATACGTAATGACTGAACGAGTCAACGTCGAGGTGATGTATTTCTTCCCAATTATCTTATACCTAACCTGTTACCTTGATCATTCGGTATAGGTGGTGGACACCACTTAGGTTGCCCTTGTTTCCACCCGGACACGGTTTTCCTAAGGCCTATTAATACGTCACTTCCGCTGTCGTGTAATAATTATTTTATTTGTTCACACCTGTATTAATGGAACTTATGTGGTCGTACTTAATTAATCGACCGTTGCGTCTGACTTAACTTCATTTTAAATTAATATTATTTCACTTTTAAATCCGTAACAAAATAACCATTGTATCTTGAAAGATATTCCATGCATAAACTAATTAATTTACATTTTATTTTGAATGTGTATTAGTTTTCGAGTATCGTGTATCTATTTAAAAGCATAAAATATGAGAATCTAGTACATTATATTGCAATACTTGTTATTGCAATAGGTATCTATTGTCTTACACCTAGATACTGAAAAATAATGTACCCAAATATAAAATATAAATATATATAATGTATAAAGATTTAGTATAGAAGTACTCCCATCTAGATGCTTATTTTTAATTATCTTGTCTATTCCTACTTATATAAACGTTAATTTTCCTTAAAGATTAAAGAATAGTTTAAGGAATTAAAAAAAAGTTTAAACACAATCTAAATTTTTTCCTCAAAACATGTTATAATGTAGGTATTGTGGATGAAATTGTTACACTAAACAGAAACGCTTAAAAATATAACAGGGGTTTTATTATAAATCGTAATTATAATTTGCAATAAAACAAAAAGTTTGTTGAATTTAACGTAGTATTTTTTTTTTTTTATAATAATTAAGTAAACAATTTTTCGGAAAATCCAAAATATTTTTTAATCGAACTCCGTTCAGAATCGTTTTTCATTAGCAATGTTTAATCGTTGCGTACAGATATACATTAATTTCCTATTTATATCTTACTTTACTAACTTCTTACCAACAACAGTGGCCCACCCATCGTGTGATATATGTTATTTTTTAGATTATCAATAATTGTCAGCATATTTGTTATTTTAAACAACACGCACAGGTGTAGTTTAGAGGACTTAGTTATTTTTTACTGAATGATGTCAAAATATTAGTTTCTCTTATTATATTGTGTATTATAGTTTAAGATTCAACTTGACTGTTGTGCGTGTAGTTTTGCAGAACTATAAGTGTTGTTTTATAATTTTAAATTTAAAAAAAATAGTAACATTGGGTTGTTGGGAAAAAAACTACACTAATGACTATAGTACTCATGACGATAGTATCTTGGAGAAAAAATAAAAAAGGACTCCGACCCATTAAGGTAATTAGATACCTACATACCTCGGCAAATAATAAAATATATAAAAACATAAATTAAGGTTTACGAAAACGGTAAACGGTATTGATAAGACTCATGATAATATAATGTGGGCAAACAAAATAAATAAATCGACGTCAGAAACGAGCAAAAATACGGAAATAAGACTTTATTCGTACGCATCACGTCGTCATTATAGCGATAGTGCAAAACAAGAACCTGCGATTAGGGGACGCCGAGTAAATCCTGCAGAGACAAATGGTAAAGTACGAATAAAAATCCAAGTAATAAAAAATATCTGACGTATTCGTTCATATAAATGGGCCATTGTTTTAAGTAAGAAATTGGAACGGTAGGATAAGATGATAATTGTATAGAGTGATTATTATAAATGTATAATATCTATATGTTACAAAAAATGATCCTGAGTAAAATTCAGTTAAACGGTAAGATAAACTTAAATTTAGTGTTATAATTTTTAACAAAAAAATAAATTAATAAACGTCCAATATTTTGTCTCAAATATTTAGGAGTTTTAATGATCCAAGAAATTGTATTCTCATAATTTTGAACTTTAAATGCATAACAAAAAAAAATATTAAATCAAATTAAAACTTATAATAAGCATTTATCGAATTTTACAGTATTAATGAGAGACCAAAAACATTTTTCATGCACATAAAACTAAATTTTTAATTTAAAAAAGAAAACGGAGAATTTAAAAAAGCTATAAATAAAACAAAAAAAAGCCAGAATGTTTTGAAAATTATATTACGTTTAGAAAGAGCTAGTAAAAGTATTTAATGTAATTTTCAGTTCTCTAAAACAATGTTTAATTGAATATATTTTAATACATTTTTAAAAATAAAAATCGTAAATAATAAAAAACCGCTTTTCGAAATTTTATATTAAAACTATGTATAAAATCATAACATTACTTCCTGAATGCACTAATTAAACAAAATATGCCATCAAAAAACGACTCCTGGAGTCTATGATCGGAGCAATATTTTTGGTAAAAAACTTATTCGAACCATAAAAAAAAATATCACCTATCCACGCTCAGAATCTAAAAAAAGCCATTTTTAAGTGAGAACTTTTATGGTACAAATTTTACGCTATTTTATTATCCCTAAATTGAATATAGGCGATACGAACCGTCCATTTATAATCGGTTACCGAAACATAATCGTCCAAGATGTTTTGTTAAATACAGTGAATATGAGAGTACCATTTTTTTTTTTTTTAGAATATTACATTAGCCATTAAAACATCATAATATAGCTTTTAAGATACATAATTTACACCCGGTTTGTAGGTACCACTACAAATTGTGTAAACATTATTATACCCAATTTTATATAGTGACCGCAAAAACTTATAAAAACAGCTAATATACATAACGGAATGAGACATCGTTCCCCGTTGTCACCCTCCTTATTCAATACCTACGTTGAGCAGGCCATGGAAGAAATAAAATTATATAAAACAGTAATTTACTAGTGAAAAAAGTACATTTAAGTTAAAACGCATTTTTTTACAACATTTACCTATGTAATTGTATCATTTTTATGAATGACCTCATTGATCAAGAAATGGTATCATTTATTAATTAACGTCATTAATCGTAACATATACATATATACAAGTATATACCCTTTATAAATATAAGTATTTTCATTTCCATGGGTTAATACCATACATTTAATCTAAAAATCTAGGTTTTCGAACTTCAAGAAATCAGGATTTATCTCACCGTTAGTGTATAAGTAGTACGAAAGCAATCCATATAAACGCCAGTTTGCAATACAATTATCCGATAGCATTACTGTGGTGTTCCGGATAATTTAACTATATAGGTATAATAATAAAATAATTATTATAAAATATTTAATTCTAACGCGAATACGGTTTTTTTTTTTGTGTATGTAACGACGCAATAATAATATATTCCACGTACGTATACGTATAGTACTTGCGTACGAGTGGAAAAACACTTAACAACGATAAAAAATAAAAATAAAAAAAACCGTGCGCATTAACCTCAATATCTCCATAAAAACTATCCCCACTAAAATAATAGCAGGGAATTTACTCGACAAGCGTAATACGTATAATATCGTATTTTATATCGATAAAGCGAATTCGATCGAACTCTCCTACCGTGTAATAGTTATTATCTTGTTAAACCTTCTAATATGATTGTGCAGTAGTGTGCGGGCACAACTATTACACCTCTAGCATTCCCAAAACGATCGCCACTGGCTATATTGATCGCCTCATTATGTGTCGCCATATGGAAATTAAAAAGTACAATGTTGGTGTCAATTTTGTTAAAAAAAAAAAGTAATAACAAAAATCTGGAAAACATGAGAAAATCGTGCACGTCGAGTTCGTTCTTCCAACGACGTGACGTTGAAAACATATTATTATTCCCGACAGAATAGAGAACAAATTATGCGGTGAGTAATGCAACGTTTCATGCAAAAAAAACGTCATTTATAATAATATAATTGGTTTCCTTAACTTGTGTATCGAAAGTCCTTAAGTAAAATTGTGATTTTTTTTCCAGAAATCTTTTCAAAATCGTTATATTTTCAATCAGTGGCTTATCCAAAATTCGAAAAAGGGAGGATGTGTTTTCAAACGCTATTTTTATCAATACACAATAAATATTACTTACCGATTTAGTACTTACAAAAATAAACGATTCATTTTTTCCTTTTTTTTGTGGTCGTTAATCACAAAGCCGTAGTTTATTGTAAAGAAATAAATAACTTTTCCGAATTTCGTGGGTGGGTTTCTATTATAATTTGGAAGTTAAGAAAGTAGGATATATATAGAATATATTAAATTATATCTATACTTAACAAAAAATAAATGTAAAAATAAACGAGAAACGATTCTGAGCAATATTCGTTTAACCAAGTTTTAAATTATCGTGATTCTAACGATTTTTATCGAAATTTGAACTTAAAATTCTCATAAAAAAACTAATACATAATGTAGTAGTTTTAATGTTCAGGTAGTTTTTTTTTTTAAAATCAAATAAAACTTATGGTGAATTTCCTGTTAAATTTTCAAACATTTCCGATTAGTCAATAAAATTAGATCCACACAAAACTATATACAACTAAAATAACTCGGCAATATAAAATGTCTATAAATAGCTTCAAAATCGAAAATTGAAAAATTTAGGGCTCCACATGTATTTTTAACAAAATAAAAAAAAACAACTTCGAAAAAAATCGTTATTTTCATTAACTTTTCCGTTTCTGCTAGCTCTCCAAGAAAACATTAACGGAAAATCGGAAAAATAAAAAAAAAATGCAATTTTTACTGTCATAAATTTCTTAACTATTATGTAAACCGCTTGAAAAATAAAATCGAAAAAATCACCACCGAAAAGTGCACCAATTAAATTAAAAATGCTTCACAAATTTGCAGGTTTTCCGGTAGTAAATTTGCCGACAAGCAGAAAAAAAAAATAAAAAAAAAAATTATACATCATTGTAACTCAAAAAATTGCTCCCTGAGCTGAAAAAATAAAACACACATCAACGCGAAGGTTTCTGTAAAGTAAAAATGAAAATTATAGCTAGTGTTCGTAACGATGGTTATGTTTGTTTTTAATCTCATCCAAATCTTTCATAAATTATATAAATTTCTCACTAAAATCCGTTTCTCGTATATTAATTTGAATTTTCAGGTTTTTGTACACACAAAAATGTACATAGTTAGTGTAAACCAAAATATTACTTACCCGAACAATTATCTCGGTGCGATTTTCTGCGTATTTATTTTAAAATTGTAAGTTCACTAAACAAACAAAATTACAAAATGATCTTTTTTTTGTATACTCGTGTAATGAATTTTCTCGATCATCTATCACACGTTTCTTGGTTCCCTTAATTCATCCAGGTACTCAGATTATGCAATAATCTCTTCTATTTGCACTCATATAAATTATCTCAAAACTGCTCTTATCCTTATTAATATAAACACTTCATCAACAACAATCCTTGTACGACTTTAAATATATTCTATCTGATTATCCTGTACGAAAAAATATATCCCTTTTATTTTTCTATTAAGTGGTGACAACTCTCATCTCAGCTTGTGAATGAGTGATGCATTGCTTCCTTACCAAATGCTCTGCAGTCATTATATATTCATTCTTTCTTTTATATTTGTAGCTTACAAGCCTTTGAAATAACTTTTTTTTCGAAAAAACTTCGTTTTTTAATTTAGTAAGAATCAAGTATAGCAAACTGTTTTTTCGTTCATTAAATAGCTTAATAAGTTTCATTTCAAAGCATATATTTTGAAAGAATAATAATAATTAAAAAAAAAAAAAACGGTCAAACGAAAAACTACACCATTTTATGTATTTTTTTTTATTTCCACTTATATCGTGAAAATGTATTCGTAATTCAATTCAATTGCCTTCACAAAAACCTCAGAGATGACAGAATCCATTTAAAGATAGAGAGAATTGTATATTCTACAAAACATATTCAATTATTATAATAATTAAACTTTGCGATTAAAATGCACGCATGACTACAAAAGAAAAGTACATAGTTTAAACGTTGCTATTTAAACATCGGATTAAAAACATGAAGCCTTTAATTTCTGTTAAAAAATAACAAACTATTCCATGACGTATATAAAATATATAAATATCTTTTTAAACTGAGATACCTTTAACTTCTATATATTTAATCATCAAGAATAATATTATCGGCAATTACAAAACTATAATGTTTTGAGGAATTTCTGTTCGTATGGTAATATAAATAGAAATATTGATTATGTTTCCATAATTCACGTGATTAATATATTTTTTACATTTTTTAGAAATTATTATTCGTATTATATGCTGAAGTAACTATTATAACAACCATAATTCTCACCTAATTTTAATGTTCGGCAAACGTTGAAATATATTTGTGTGTCTCCATATTTTTAAATGAAGGGTTAAAAAATAGAAACAAAAGCTAATACTGCTGATGGATGTATTACTGTTGTAAGCGGGGAGTTTATATATAATATTTTACACATAGTTGGTTGCTTATGAAATTCGATTTTGAGTGAAGTTCGATTAACATGTTTTAAAATACCTTAATTTAAAAAATGTTCGTTGAAATACTTATAACTCAAATCCATGATACCTAAAATCATATTAAAATTAATAGATTTTCTCACTGTGTTCAGAATTTAAAACATACATCTCAATAGAAGTGATAAAAATTAAATCATATTATGTGATCACACTGCAGTGATTTGTGTGTGTTTATGAAAATCATTAAAATATAGTTTTATTTGAATAACAAGTCGTCATTATGACGTTCAACGTTGAGATATTTTCCGAAATAAATATTCAATTGTTATTTTTTCATTTACTACATCGTTGTTTTAATTACAACAATAAATTATAAAACAATATTTAGTAATCAAATTTATTTTAGGAATTTCCATATAGTCACGTAAAAGTTATACATTTTCTCACTACAGTATAATATTTGTGTGTGTTATTTATTTTTAGAGTTATTTAAACGGTACTAATATCTGAATAAGTTTTGATATTAAAATTTACATTTTAAACGTAAAAACAAGTTAGTTTTGTTGATATGAACAGTATTAAAAATATATAGTATGAAATCATCATTATTCATATCAGCTGCAGTCTCCATAATCTCCAAGAAATATGATTAAACGCGATCGGAGTGAATTTAGTGTTTTACTCGATAGATTGAATAAATAGGCTATGAAATTATATTCATGTATATCGAGTAGTATTTCTCAGTGATATTATTACAATAAAAATTAAATCCGATGCACGATCAAATAATCACCGTCACGTTGAGTTATAAATTGAATAATTTTCAAACAGTTGTCCTACGATAATGGGGACGGGTGCAGTCACTGTTATAGGTAATTTAATGTACATTAACGTACACGAACTGTACTATTATTCATTACTAACGAACAAAATGATTCTGAGTGGAGTTTATTTGATAGTTATTGAATAGAATTTAATTTTTTGCAGATTTCCCATTTATTAGGAAAACTTCTTGGAAAATCAAAAAAGACCTCCCTAAAGATTTTCTATAAGAAATTGAGATTGGAGATTGTAAATTGGAACAACATTTCTGGTATAAAATGTTGTTCGTAGTTTAAAAAAAAGAAACTTAAAAAAAATACAAATAAACATCATTGTAAAACTAATATATTCCTCTATCTATTCAGAATCTAAAACTTGAGTTCTTCTATAGGCATGTAGATTTTCATTACTTCCCAAAATTACTAATTATACTTGACTACTCATTTTTACAAATACCAAGTTTGGTTTAGCTCAATGATATACAGGGAGATGGGAACCCATATTTTTTTTAAAAGAATATTTTTTGGAACAAAATCGCAATTTAAACGAGTCGCTTATTTTACGATTTTTGCGGTGAAGTAAAAAAATATTTAAAGGTCATAGAAAAGAGGCAAGGAAACAATTCTCGATGTAATTTCCTCTGTAAACTATGCACCTACTACTAACATTAAACATTATATGATTGGTTTTTTTTTTTTTTTTTTTATTGTTATTTTTCGTTTAGTGGTCTGAAAGAATAAATTAGAAGTAACTATATATTATTCTGCAAAATTAGTTTTTAATATTGACCTATTGACACGAAAAAAATAGTTTAGAGATAAAAACTATTTTTTCGTTCACAAGGAATTAATTTCTGAGTGTAGCTGTTAGTTTTATTATATGATTTTTTTTTCTCTTTTGGAAAATAAAATTTCGGTTGATGTAAAAATGATTTTTTTATATCATACTTTAAAATAAACGATTTTTTCAAATTCCGTAATACTTTGCTCAACAAATTGGTTTTATGTTTTTTTTTTTTTTCTTGCGATTTTGCTAAACAGTGCTCAATATCGTGTTAATTTTCATTGGTGACCTAGGACAATCATTATGTTTTGTGCTTGAATTTGTTATCCATCTAAAATTGTACGCCTCAAAAATTCGTTGCACTTCCAGTGCATTAGAGCAGTTTACACATTAGCCCTCTACTCTTACGAGAGCATACCCAAAACACCGAACTATTTTTGAACAAAGTTATTTATTTAATTTTTTTACAAAAAACATTTAATCTCCTTTAAAGTACTCTCCGTTGGAGTTAATGCACTTGTCCAATCTTTTGTTCCAATTTTTGAAGCACTTTTTAAACTCATTTTTTAAGATGCCTGCCAACGCCTCCGTCAATTTTTTTTTTTTAACTTCATCAATGTCCGCGAAACGCTTTCCTTTCACGTTCCTTTTCATTCTGGGGAATAAAAAGAAGTCGCAGGGAGTCAGGTCGGGTGAATAGGGTGGATGGGGCACAGTGGTCATATCATTTTTGGTCAAAAACCGCCGTACAGAAACCAGTCTCCTGACTGCCACAAATCAGGTCTTTTTCGCCTCAAACTGTTGCGTAATCTTTTCAACACCTCTAGGTAAAATGCCTAGTTAACATTCTGACCAGGTAGAACAAACTCCGAATGGACGACTCCTCTCACATCAAAAAAAAAACAAATGATCATTGTCTTAATGTTTGGCCTCATTTAACGAGCTTTTTTAGGGCGAGGCGATGCTGGAGTCTTCCATTGGCTCGATTGTTGCTTGGTTTCAGGATCATATCTATAGCACCATGATTCGTTACCTGTAATGACCTTGGGAAAGAAGTTTGGGTCATTTTGGAATTTTTCTTTCAAAGGAGAGCATAATTCCACGCGGCCTTGTTTTTGCTGCTCAGTTAGCAGTCGAGAAACAAATTTTGCAGCCACCCGTCTCATCCCCAAATCTTCACTTAAAATTCTCTGTACTGAACTTCATGTCACACCAGATCATTCCACTACTTCTTCGATGGTTTGCCGTCGGTCTTCCAGAATAATTTTGTGAATTTTTTCTACATTTTCGTTGGTTCGCGCCGTCGAAGGACGTCCAGAGCGAGCTTGGTCGTCTATCGACATTTCACCACTTTTGAAACGGGAAAACCACTCAAATACTTGAGTTTTTTCTAAAGCATCTTACCTTTGTAAGCTATTTTCAACATCTCAAGGGTTTCTGTGTCTGTTTTCCCGAGCAGGAAGTAAAACTTGACGGCCGCGCTGTTCACGCAAATCAGCCATTACAAAAACGACGAGTATGTAAAATAACTTTTAAAAAAAATATCACACCAAAGTAACACAGCCTTCCACGATGATGGCCGTTGGCATATTGAATGTTCAGAAGTATATTTATTCCCCCTACCGGAAAAAATCGGTACTACTAAAACTCTGTCCCACACAACATCAGTTCGGTTTATTTTGGGTAAGACCTCGTATATGCCTTTGCGGTTATGTATGTTTGTATGTTGGATACTGTTGTCAAACAAAAATCGATTTTATTTTCCTAATTCAACGATTTATTGAAATGTAAACAATTTAAACACTTGGTTTTAGAATTCATATTAGATAGCTTATGGCAAAAGATATTGAAGTATGTCTGTGGACAATGTTCAATATTATTATTATCAAAAGTAATGTTGTTTTGGTGATTTATATCCGGGGATATTTTTTCCGGGGAACTTTCTCCAGGAATTTTTATTCTAAAGATTCCTTTTCCGGAAGTTTTTATTTAGATAACCGACAACGAATACCAGCACGCATAATATTTTTTAGTTGATACATGTTATAGTATTTCGTTTTCAACCGCACATATTGAAAGAATATTTTTTCAAGGTTCAAAATATTACATTTTGGTCTGTATGGAAGTATAATATAATGGAAGCTGACTATGCTAAGATCCATGCACTGCAATACCCTGTTCGGTTACTTCTAAAATATAAGCATCGTACCCAACATCCCGCTGTACACAAAACTATACATTTCGTACCTTGTGTGACAGATAGGTATTGTATATAATCCGTGTATAATACGAAAACGATTTATTTTGTCGCCAGCACCGGACAGTTGTTTTGGAGAAACGATATCACTATTGGAAATAATATAAATACATATTAGAACGCGGTGAACGCCGTTGGTGGTCGATTCCGATGAAAATGGACAATTACACGACCCGCCAGTGCTTTATAGTGTGCTCCTCGATGAATTATTTTTTTCCGTAGTCTTGCGGTTTGGGTATTGAGAGAGAAGAAAGTGAGAAAAAAAAAGGCTTTCGTATAATAATATAATACGGTTTTTAGATTCGGAAAT